AACTGGCTGTGGCATAGTGCAATTCAGAGGGCCAAGTGTTCCCCTTAATCCACAAAGGGAGATTTAGCTACTGAACCCATGGCATAGAAGAACAAATTCGGCTGACAGTTCTTAAAACCTAGGTTTATTTTGCCTGGTATTGCTGTGACTTAGGTACATGGTGAATTGTACTTTTTACTTATGGTGATTTCTAAGGAGATTTGCTATTCAACAAAATACCTCACAACTTTGCATAAGTTTGTGATCTCAGTTAGGAGATGGAGGATGGCTAGCATGATCTATCAGATTCATCAGAGGGAGTTTTCGAACCACGCATACATGCTACCATTCTAAGCACTTGCTGGTGCTAATGTGTGTGTACCATGTTCCTCATCAGTGCAGACATGGGGAAAAGGTTGAGAAACACCAGTTTAACTTACTTGGCTACTTCATGCCAAGATGCCTTTAGAACCTGAATGATGTAGGAATATCGATTTTATTTTTGCAAAGGTGTGAGTAGAGGCAAATTCCAAGACTGGTTTAGTTAACAGAGTGGAATGGTCTCCAAAAACAAAGACAGAAGCATTTCCATGTGCTGGACTATTGGGGAGAATTTGTAGGGACTCACCCTTCACAGTGCCTGGAAAACTGCAAAATGAAATACCACAAGCCAACCAACTATTTCTCATTTGTTTTCTGCTTGATTATCCTGAGTGGCTGATCCAATTGCTCTAACTGCTGATGTTCAGCATAGTACTGCTTGCCATCTGTCAACATACGGGTACAAAATGTGGTGTTTTGTTTGTTTGTTTGTTTTTGCGGTACACGGGCCTCTCACTGTTGTGGCCTCTCCTGTTGCGGAGCACAGGCTCTGGATGCGCAGGCTCAGAGGCCATGGCTCATCTGCCCAGCCGCTCCGTGGCATGTGGGATCTTCCCGGACCAGAGCATGAACCCGTGTCCCCTGCATCGGCAGGCGGACTCTCAACCACTGCGCCACCAGGAAAGCCCCCAAAATGTGGTGTTTTGAAGAGGCATAGATCTATCTGAAGCTAATGAGATGCTTTGGTGACCTCACTTTAATGATGTTACTTTATTTTTTGTTTTATATGATAACCATCTAGGAAATTATTTGCTCTTAAAGGAGATGAAGAAAGAAGAGCAAGTACTATGACAAGAAAAGCAAAATTGAAAATCTTATACTGGTCAGCAAGTCTTGGCAAGAAGTATGTTTGAATTTTTTAATGTTATTTACCTTTGACCCCCTTGAACGAACTAAAGTACTTGAGTCAATAATAATTTTTAGATTATATTAAAAAGAACTATTTGTGCAAGAACAGCATACTTTTAAAAACACATTTAAAGAACTATTTATGAAAGAACAATATCCTTTAAAAAGCTACCCCTATAGAAGTCAGTTTTGAAGAAAATGCAAGAAGAAATCTAGATAGAATTTGATTCCTTATTCACAATTCCTAAACTTCAACAAGAATTATTTAATCTAAACCTGGTTCTACCTCCAGGGAGAAACACTTCTTTCTAACTCATCTGAAAATCTTCAGTTTAGAGTCAGACTGGCAGGATAAAAAAAGTCCTCAAGTAGAAGTTGGTACATTCACCTACATTCTAGGTCAGCTGTCTGGAGATGAAGAAATTTGCAGTTATCAGAAATCAGGAACAGGTTGCAAATAAGAATTTAAGTAGTTCAGGCAATATGGGGAGGTGTGAGCAAGTGTCAGCAATCCAGAAAATGTGACAAGACAGGAACACAAATCAATACCAAAAGGAAGTATATTGGGGCTTCCCTGGTGGCGCAGTGGTTGAGAGTCTGCCTGCCGATGCAGGGGACACGGGTTCGTGCCCCGGTCTGGGAAGGTCCCACATGCCACAGAGCGGCTGGGCCCGTGAGCCATGGTCGCTGAGCCTGTGCGTCCGGAGCCTGTGCTCCACAATGGGAGAGGCCACAACAGTGAGAGGCCTGCATACCACACACACACACACAAAAGAAAGTATATTGAATCAAACGTTATTGCTGGGTGCAAAGAGTTTGGGGTAGGTGGGTATTAGTTACAGAGATACTCATAGTTATGGAAAGGAAAGGAATATTTACTGCGATTCTGCTTTTGCCAGGCACAGGAATAAATGCTTTACTTTAATTACCTCATTTAATCCTCCTAACTCTACTGGGTAGGAATCATTTTATAAGGAGGAAAGAAGCTCATAGACTTTAAACAACTTGCCTAAGAACACACAGTTAGTGAGGGTTTAAATTTGATCCTAACTCTTCTTGTCTTCAAAACCTATACTACCATAGGGATGTCAACAGTGCACAAGGGCTAGTCTTATGAAATTCTGGAAATGCATTCGCGTCTAGATAAGAGAATTAATAAACCTCGCCTCATGGTACTCAGAAGGCATTGAGAGATGTGGTGTAGAATATGTTTGTGACAGGAAACAGTAGCTTTCTGGTTCTCTGGGAGAGTGAAGGAGATTTTAGACATCTGTTCGTGGAGAAACCAGGCTTGGAAGATAGCTACAGTCCATCCTACACAACAGAGGGAATCTCCCACTGAGAATGAGCTCCTGCAGTCAAATGAGGAAATTATGGGAAATGTGGTCTGGGGCTGGGTAAGGATAGGAGTCAGGGTTAGAGAGGTTTTAATGGTTCTAGTCAGGGTCTAAGGCCCTGGGTCTAGCAAGCCGTCATTACCGAGAATATTCAAATTAATCAACATTTACAGAGGGCACTGTGCTGGATACAGAGCGGAGTACTGGGAACATAGATACCTCGAGGAGATTAAACAACTGGTGGAGGCAGACAAGGAAAGAAAAATTCCTGCTTATATTCCATTTTAGCCATTCTGGCCTCTTTACTGATTCTCACACAGTAAAAGTCAGACAGATTCCAGTCTCAGGACCTTTGTCCCGGAGTTCCTTCTTCTTTCAGAAATCTGCAGAGCTAATTCCTTGCCATCTTCAACTCTTTGCTCAAATTTCACTTTCCTAATGAGGCCTAAGTTGGTCACCTTATTTATAATCGCAACTCCCAACTGCACCGCTCAGCTCTCCAACATCCCATACTCCTCTTTACCTTTTTTTTTCCCCATAGCATGCACCACCTCCTAATATTCTAAAAACATTATTTAAGTTTGCTCCCCCTTAATAAATATTAGTTTCACAATGGCAGTGATTGTGTTTTAATTAGCTATCTCTTCAGATACATCTCTAGCACCAAGAAGAATGCCTGACACAGAGCAAGAATTCAGCACTACTCGTTGAATTAAATTAGATTGAACATGTGACATGGTTAGCACAGGAACAACGTGTATGGGTAGCAGAGAAGAGTGTGGATAACTTTTGGTGGAGGAAGGGAATCAGAGAAGGTTTATTGGGAAAAGTGTGTTTCAGCTTGGATTTAAAGATGAAGGGGAGCTGCCCATACAGAAAGTGGGCTGGAGTGGAAGGAAAAGCATTTCAAGCAGAGGGAGCATCATAAACAAAGACATGGGGAGTGGCAACAGAATGGGAGAAGGAAGGGCCAGCCAGGAAGAGGAACCTGGTCAGACCAGAGGAGTCTACTGACTACTGAATGTCTGAGGAGGAAGACTAGAAGTTATTGTAGGGAAAGGTATACATGCAGGTTCCTCTCTCTTTTCACCTCTGATTCATTCTCTGCTCTTAGCCTGGGAGGCTGACCCCCAACCTCCATCACCAGTTTCCAGTGGGAGTTAACGGGCAAAACCCTGGAGACAAAGATCAGAGAATTTTTCCTCTCTGCTGGACTGTAGTCCTGGCAGCAGCTGCAAATTTTTGTGACTACAGATCCTATCAAGAGGGCCCACCTGATGGTTCTAGTTTTTAATCAAGCTCTAGTCCCTTTTAAGCCTCAGGGTACGGAGGGCTTTCTCCTGTGGCTAGTCCTTGGGTGCCTTGGTGGCCCTTCTTGGTTCCCTTAACCCTTGCTCCTTCATCAGAAAGCCTCTTACAAAATCCCAGCTGAGAATGCAGACTGAGTCCTGCCTTTTAGGGCAGAGAAAGCAGAAGTCAGTGCCGGCCAGCAGCTGAGTGGCTGCAGTTAGCACAACCCCATCCAGCAGGCAGATGGAGTCCAGAGTCCAGATGAGCCGGCAGCAGGCAAGAGACAACTAGAGACCCGATATCTAGGCAGTGTCTGAACTGTAGGCATCGAGGGTGCTGGATTTTTGGGCACAAGTCAACATCTTCTGAAATGGAGTTGATTTATATGTGCCAGGTCCAGGTCTCAAACTCATCTCAGTATGTATGTTTGTTGGGGGCAGGGAAGAAGTAGGGAAGCAAGCCAGCTCTGAGCAGAAGCTTGAGAGCATCAGCACACCCTGCAGAGCAAACATAATTTCAGGCTCTCAAAACCAGAAGTTCTGAACTATGGACTGTGGATTGTGAGTGGGTGCATATACTTTTTCCTCAGGTTGTGTGTGTGTGTGTGTGTGTGTGTGTGTGTGTGTGTGTGTGTGTAGGTGGTGATGGTGGGGTATCTTGACCCTCTTCCCAAAGGTAGATAATAGCCAACGTTTATGAATGTTTGCTATATGTCTGAGTGCTCTGCTGACATCAACTCTATAAATCGGGCAACAACTCCCTTAGGGGGGTACTAACATTATGTCAGCTTTCCAGATGACGAAACTGGGCACAGAAAGATGAAAGTCCAAGGTCTCGCAGTTAGGAACCCTGTGAGAGGGGATTAATCTGGGCAGCCTGGTTCCTGAGCCTGCTGTTCCCTCCACCACTCACTACGGTGTCTTTGCCTGACTCTGGACTCGTAAGAGGAAGGAGTGTATTCGTATTATGCACCTTCATTGGCTCAGAACCTCGCACGATGCCTGGCACGCAGGAGATAGTTATATGTTCATAGTTATATGTATATGTTATATGTATATAACATTCATTGATTAAATGAATGAAATTTTGCTAGACAGCGAAAACTGGGGCAAGCCCGTGCAACAGACAGCTCCTCGAGGAGGGTGGAATGTCCATCCATGCCACAGCCCGACGCCCAATCAGGCCCTCGGCTCAGCTTCTGCTTTGTATATGTACAAATAGCAAAAGGCAGAGCAAGCAGCGCCCTGAACAAACCAGAAAAACAGCCCTCTTCCGCTGTGTTCCGGAGCTCACAGCAGACCAAGGCTGCGGCACCTGGCGGGAGCTAGGGGCGCTTCCCGGGCGTCAAAGCCCGCCTCCAACCCCCCACGCCCCACCAGGCCCCGCCCACCGCCCGAGGGCTCCCCGCCCCGCCCCGCCCACCGGGGGCGTAGGGCAAGCCACGCTCGAGGCCACTTTGCACCCTCGGGTGTACGCGTCCTGCTTTCTGGCGGGCTGTTTAATCCTCCTCTCCCCGTTCATGGAGGGGGCCGGGCCCCCATCGCCAGGAGATGACCTGGAGCTCTCGGTGATCCAGGGGCAGCCAGACGAGCAGACGCCTCTCAGTGGAGCCGTCCAGGGCATCTTTCCTCTGGAGGAGGAGCCCTGCCCAGTTCAGGTAAGGCCGTCTTCGCTCTGGCAGCGTTATCCGACGGGCTCTGAGCCAGGCTGCTGGCCAGGACCCGGGCCTGGCACCGCAGTTTCCGGTTTCCAGCTAGCTTTCTGGGCGCAGCAGACCCCAAGCGCCGGTGGTGCGCGCTGGAATATTCTGAATGGAGCAGACACAACAATGCCCTCCACCTTGAGCCTGCCCGAGGCCCCTCGGATCCCTCCGGCTCCAAGGAACTTGAGGAATCTTATCCCGGAGGTGTGCGGCTCCTCTCTTCAGAGAGAGAATCCCCAGAGGTAGAGGTGGTTTTAAAAAGTTCATTAACTTTTAATTTGGTTTTTCTGTTTCCAGTAGAGAGAACCAGCGATAACTGGTGTCTCCTTTTCTTGAGAATTCTTTGTCTTCCTTTCCTATACGACCTTGCGACTTGCCCTCACCCTCCACCCTCCCCCAGCCTTCACCCACCGCCCACCATCCCCCATCCCGGCTCACCATCCCCCATCCCGGCTCGCCATCCCCTGGGTCTACACTTTTTGTCTTCTCTCAGCCTGGCCATTTGATTTCACAGGAAGAGATGTAGGGGAGAAGGGAGAAAGAGCAAGTACAGAAGGCCTGGGGGGTGAACTTGCCCTGCTCAACTAAGGGGAATAATTTACAAGTTCTTGTCTCAAAGAACTAGACCGCCTCATTCGCTTTGGCCTCGTCTCAGTTTCTAAGTAAGTCCCTGGTGATGTTTAGGCTGAACTCTTCTGATTCAGCTCTAGCAGGGGCAGGAAAATTATTCATTCTGATCAAATGCTTGTAACACAGCAGAGACTTTGAATTCTACCTTCTGATTAACCCTTCTAACTGGCTTGATGTTTACTTGGTATATGGAACTCCACATATATACACATATGGTTCCAACCTGATTTTTCTAGGGCCCTCTCCTCTACTGCCATCCCTTTGGCAGCTCAACTGCTGATTTCGGGGATAAGCAGGAAATTCAGAAGTTGAAAGCATTGCTTTTGCTTCCTCCCTGATTCCTAGTAATACTGTAAAGTCTGCTTTTATAGGTACCCTGGAGAGTAATTTGCTACCTTATATTTGAATGAAAGATGAATACCATAGAAAAATGAAAGTTGGAGGAAGATGATTTGATCTCTGTGCAAGTGGCTGCAACTGTGGACTTGCTGTACGGATCCTCCAAGGCGATGTCTAGGAATGGGAATTGGGAGTACTTGCCTCATGTCAGATAGACCCAGGACACCCCACGGACTCCGTGTTTGGGACTGAATCCAGAGATCTGAATTCTGGTGACAACTTCCCCATTAAAAGGTGTGTCCCAAGGCAAGGCACTAAGGTCTATGTTTTCCCAGCTGTCAACTGGTGGTAATGTAATGTGGCCAGCCAGTCTTCTTTGTGAGGCCTGGGAATGCATGTTGAATACAGTGGAGGAGTAGACTGTGCAGGACACATACAGGGTGTCAGTATTTTATTATCATTTAACCTACCTGGTAGAGATTGCTTTTTCATGTTTTAATTACTTCCTTGTTAGCCAGGTGTATACAGATATCTGAGACTTCCTTGTGAACCAGCTTTGTAGGAAATACAAAGCTGTGTAGGAAATAGGAAAGCTGTGTGAGGGACAGAATGGCGTGAAGATGAAGGGTTACATCAACACTTGGAGAACATTCTAGAAATGCTTGAAGAGGAATAATTTTTAAAAAGAGGAAAAAAAAAATCCTCATCTAATGTGTTAATCATTCTCTTTGGTTCCATAGAATCAGCTGAAGTGTATTTTAACTTGAAAAGTCAACTAATGTAGCCACAAGCGCAAGATCCAGACTCTTAAGACTTTTGTGTGTAGGTCTCTTTAAACTGTATGTTAAGATTTCCAACTTTGAAATGTAGCATTAAGTCCATGTGTTTTTATTAAACATATATTTTGTACCTATCACGTGCCAAACACTTCTGCTACATAAATGCATTTAATGAGCACAACAAACTTCAGAGGAAGGGGGTGGCATTCTGATTTGACAGAAGAAGAAACTGAGTGAAGAACTTGAGACTCAGGCGGAGTTACCAAAATACTCAAGTTCACCCAGTGGTGGCTCTGAGACTGAACTCAGGCTGTTTTTCAAACCTATGCTGCTTTTGTTGATTTATTTTATATGTCTATATATATGTACATAATTTGAATATATAAACATATATAACTTATATTTATTTATGTATAATTGCCTGTTATATATTATTACTAATTTCTGTAAGTTATGGAACGTAGGTGAAATATGAGGAATTGAGTAGCGTATCTGGCATGATGAGGGAGATGTGAGCAGACGGGTAGATGCGTGACGAGCAGGGAAGAGTTTGAGAATCATCGGGAAGAAGACATCCCATATCATGGGTATCTTCCTACTTGGAAGGGCTCATCTGGGAGGGTATTCAAAGGCAGTAGAAAGAACTTTCTGTTTCTTAATTTGGGTTTGGGGCTTGAGGGAAAAAGATTGTAAGCCAGTGAACTTCACTTTGCCTGCCATCACTGTAAACATGGCAATATAGTTGGGTCAAAACTGGAAAAGGCATTAGGGATAATTGAGTAAGACTACTTTTCTTTTATGGCTCATTTCACGGACTCGGACCTCAGTTTTCAGGTAGAAGTCCCAGAGGCATTTTAAGGGATGGCAGCATCATTTTGATAATAGCAGTAATAATCCATGGGTAGTTTTGAGGCAGGCAATACATATATGAATGGGCTAGCTAAAAATTAGCCCATTGACATGTGTTGTTCAGAATTGAGGACAAGAATCGGCTGGCTCTTTTGTGCTTGAGTCAACAAGTGGATTAAATCCCACAATGAAGATTACAAAATATAGATTTTACTGTGTGCTAAGAAAAATTTCCCCTGATCTATATAATACCTTTTCCTAATTGAGCCAAAGAGAAGAAAAGCTTTTTGTATCCAAGAGATACGTAGTCCTGCCATTGTTTCAGGACCTTATGTCATGTATTTGGACCTTATTTGAAGAGGGATGTGAATATATCTGGGGGAATAGTCAGAGGAAAGTCACAGAAATTCTTGGGCCATATGCTGCCATCATAGAGTGTAAGATGCAGTTTGCAAAAATCTTCAGAAGCCACTCTGGAGAAGAACCTGTCTGTGGCCTCTCCTCATGGCCTAGAATTTGGGCAAGAAATGCTAAAGAAGGCCGTGAAGGAGACATTGTGTTTCTATGGCCCAGTGTGCGTGGGTAGCATGCATCTGCTGGATCAGAGGCTCTCTCAAGGCAGGGTGGACTCTCCTGGGGGCACTTTGAAAAACTAGGATTCCTGTGTTGATTCTGGTGTGCAGACCGCTGAGCAGCGCTGTACTCTGTTGATGGGTTGGGTGTGTCTGACAGACCATTTTACGATGACTTAAAATATGTGAAGATTAGTCATTCAAAGGATAGTGGTCTCTGCCTTCAGGCTGACGGCAGGAGAAGGGGCCGGCCTGTAGGATGGCAGTGATGGGCTGGACAGGAAGAGGCATTTCCTACAGAGGAGGGCTATATAATTCTGAGCTGAGTTCCCCCAGGAAGTCAGAATATTGGTCTCCTCACACCACCAGCGTCCTAGTTCGTGGTCTCTAAGGGATAGCATAGGTGAAGGCACAAAGGGCCAAAGAGGTGCATTGACCCTCATTCATGGGCTCATTTGAGACTCCAGACCATTTCATTTTGCACGAATCTTTATGGTTCCTGCTGTGTCTTGTACAAGGACTGGAAATGGCATGTGTCTCAGGAGCTCTGTAAATAGGAAGATATGTTTCAAGTTCAAGATATGTTTCAAGTTCAAGGCTTCTTATACTGGGACTCCTCTTTCTTGTGTGCCTTGTTGAGCCGCTAGCTTTGGTGACCTTGGAGCAATGCTCAGTCTGTGGGTAGGGGTGAGCGGTGGTGCCGTCCCTGGACTCCACACCCACTTACCTCAAGAGGGTTTCCCTCTGTCCAGATATTGACGGGGCCTTTACTGTACCCCTCATACCCCACCTGAAGGGCATGCAGGGGCTCCAAAGTGTGACCTCTACTCTAGAGCTTCTCAAAGTGCATTCTCAAAATTTTGGGCGCCCACTATAACTAAGCAACACACGTCTATTAAGTGCCTGTTACTTGTATGAGGCAGAGGTATGGGATATAAGAGTGGGGAATTTTAAGAGCCACCCTTCCTTCTATGTGGTTTCACTTTCCCTAGGAAGATAGGCCAGTATCTGTTTATATTCGGACCTGATACCAGACAAGGCAGGCAGTGGCAGCGGCAGACGAGCTGTGTGTACTGGGAGATCTCTCCACGGGTGGGCTGGTAGGGAGGCCTCCATGAAAGGAGAGATTTGACCAGGTTCCTGAAGAGCAGGGAGGCTCCAGACCAGGGGTCCACCTATCGTAAAGCAGCTGATTTACCTTGGGAAGTCTACATTGACAAACTGGGTCTGCTCCCCCCTTCCCTGCAATCTGATCCCCTGGGTCCGGGTAGGGCCTGGGTGTTGTTTAAATTCCCCTTCACGTGATTCTGATATGCAGGCTTGGACCCTCTCATTGAGAAAGATTAAACTGTAGTCCTTGCGTGGACAGTTTCCTTTTCTGATAGCTGCCACTGAAATCACGACGGAAGAGAAAGTTAACGAGGCGCGGATTCAGGAAGTGCCCTGCTGCCGCTTGGCCAGGCAGGTGAATACTCCGCGTAACCACTGGCTCCTGTGTGTTGAGAGCCAGTGTCAAGTGCGCTCAGGGGCTCCGGAGTGTGACCTCCGCTCTACCCTTGTTTAGCAAGTGCTTCATGTGCGTGATCTCTAGTTTTTATAACAGCCCTGTGAGCTAGATTTATTACTTGTGTGTTTTACAGGTGAGGACCTTGGGGCTGGTGAGTTTCAGTAAGGAGTTTTCTGATAGTCCCCCTGCCTTTAAGTGATATAGCTGGGATTGGGATCCTGATAGAGAAACACATTTTTTCTGCGTCATATTCCATTGTTTCCCATGGTCTCCATGTAGGAAGTAGGAGGAGAGGAATGGAACCTTTTAGGGGCAGGTGGCAGTACTGAGCGTGGAGGTGGCCGGGCGCACTCTTAACCTGGAGCCCCACACAGTGCCTGGGGGACCCTGTAGACCAATGGGAGAGCGAGTGAGCGGGGCAGTGTCACGCAGCAGGGATTAGCCCTGGCTAATCTCTCCCAACTGCATCTTTGAAATGGGTTAATACCTCCCTTGCAGGGGTGTTCAGATGAAGTGAAACGGTGTTGATGTTCAGTAGACCAGAGTGGTTGAAATTATTTACTTTAACCCCACCCTCTGCCTCACTACACACATTGCAGCTTATTTTCTGGTATCTCTCCCGTCCTTGTCCTCCCTTTCATTCCCTTTCCAGGCCCTTATTACATAGAGTCTGGGCCCCAGCAGAAGGTTCTCTTGGTCTAAACTATACATCATTCTCTTAATCTTCTCCTCAGCTTTTGTGTGCCAGAAACCTTCAACGAGTTCCCAGTACACGCCAATTTAAGTCCAAACTGCTCTGGCAGCATTTAAGACCCTCTCAGATATGCTTCAACCTTTCACTCCCTCTAATCTTAAGTCTCATTACTTGCCTCTGAAACCCACATTCCTATCAGATGCATCTCTTGGCCAATTTCATTGTGAGTCCACATGGAGGATATTCTTTCCTGGGTTTGGAATGCCTTTCTCTGTCCATCCTTCAAAATCCTGCCTGTTCTTCCCACCTCAGAGTCCCCAGAGCATTTTCTTGCTAACTTCTTTGTGAGGTTCCATTCTGTCCTTTTGTAAACTTGACTCAGTAGGGTGGAGCCCCTCGAGGTCAGGATCCTGCTGCCTTCATTTCAGTGTCACTGGCCCATAGTGAGTATTAAAAAATGTTTGTTGAAACCAAATGCCTGCCTCTAAGTCGCCCTCTGCTTTCCAGGCTGACAAGGAAAGCCCTTGGAACTCCTGTAATAAGAACTTGGTTGGAAAGTGCAAACTGTGGATGGTCCTCGCCTCTGTTTTCCTAGGTCTCGTTATAGTCATCATCATAAGCTTATGTTTGATTGGAGGTAAGAGGTTTTAAACATGACTAAATTGATGCATTTTGAGAACTCACGTAATGCTTATGACACTTAAACGCTGAAATCAAAGACGTACTCACTGCTACTTCATCGTTTATAATATGAATTTAAAACTGGTTTGCGATATGTTGAATAGACGGGAGATATACATGATTTTTGCTTTTCTTTTTTATTTTCTTTTTTGTGTGTTTTATAAACTCTGGAAAAAGTATGGGGGTCATTGTTTTACTTTAAACTCTACCCATTGGATGTTGAAGATTTCTTAAATTTTTAATTTCCATAAACACTATGTTTTATTGTATCTTACCCATGCATGTTTGAAAAGTTTTTAAAATAATTTGTTTAGTAAAGATAATTATTGTAAAAAGGTAATTAATGTATAACGATAACTTTATCTGATATACCTAGTATATTATTGTAATGGTAAAATGATGAATAATGTATTTGGAAGCATTTAAAAAACTTCATAGAACCATGCATCTGTAAGCTGTCATTATTTTAACTTATTTTAGAAATCACTGTTACATTTGTGTTGTATGTGGTACAAAACAAAAACTCACATGGTGCTAAATATATATTTTACATGCATTATCTCATTTTATTTTTTATTATGAATATGAACATAGTACATGTTCAGTTACCCATAAAGCCCATCCACATTATTAATATTTTGTTATATTTTTCTCTAGTCTTTTTCTTACTTGCATTTTAAAAATGATTTGCAATCAGATTGTTTTTTATCATTCTGTGGCTCACCTTTAGGATTTTAATGTTACATTGAGATCATTTTGCCAATTCATTAAAAATTATTTGTGAACTTTTTTTTTATAACTGCATGATGTACTCTTCCACATTTTTTTTTTTTTTTTGCGGTACGCGGGCCTCTCACTGCTGTGGCCTCTCCCGTTGTGCAGCACAGGCTCCGGACGCGCAGCCTCAGTGGCCATGGCTCACGGGCCCAGCCGCTCCACGGCATGTGGGATCCTCCTTGACCGGGGCACGAACCCGTGTCCCCTGCATCGGCAGGCGGACTCTCAACCACTGCGCCACCAGGGAAGCCCTTCCACATCTTTTTAAAACCTTTTAGGTAGTTGCTAATTTTTTTATGATTATCAGTATTAAGGTTTTTATGATGCATAAATATAGCACACACCCCCGCCCCCAGTGGGCAATATTTCAATTTCAAAATAGGAAAAAAGAAAAGTGCTTTCATTTCTATGTGTGGGTGATTGTAGGGTACAGGGGTGTGAGTGGGGCTCTTCTGGAACCGGGATACTTGTGAGGGTGATCCGATCAGCACAAGATAAGGGTTGAGCTGGATTCTCCATAGCAAACCAAGTTACAGGATGAGAGCAAGCATGGCAGCCCCTGAGTTTCTCCAGAGGGGGCCCTGGGAATTCTCTTAAGGAACTGCATTTGTCATTCACCTCCTGTTCCTCCTTGTCCCAACACTTTCATCTCCTGTCTCAAAGTTTTACAGTACCTGAAGAAATAGGAAAACTCTGATGAGGTGTGCCAACCTCTAGCATGTGAGCTTCCCAGGCAGGCAGCGTGTTTGCTTAGTTACTTAAGGCGGTGTTGAGGTGGAATGGCTGTGTCGTTGAGGCCAGAGGCTGGTCCTGAGGCAGGGAGAAGTTGATAAGAGGTGCTGCCCCTCCTTCATCACACTGAGGACAATCGCTTTGGTATGAGTGTTGATACTCCCTCTTCCCATCATCTCCCACATGTGGATATTGAAACTGAAATTGAGTCACACAGCCTTGTCCTATCACAACCAGCCAGTGCTGTCCTAAAAGTCGGCTGAACCATCGGCTGGCATCTGGGGCCTATAACAAAGGATGATGCCACAGATTTGGTTGGCTTGATATTGAGGATTCTAAAGCTCAAGACCCAGGGATTTCCCTGGCGTCCATTGGTTAAGACTCCATGCTTCCACTGCAGGGGGCACGGGTTCGATCCCTGGTTGGGGAACTAAGATCCTGCAAGCTGAGTGGCCAAAAAAAAAAAAAAAAAAACCTCAGGATCCAAGAGGTGTCTTCCATTTTCATTCTCAGAAAGTCATTTGACCTCTTCAGATCCGAAGACCAACCTGCAGAAGAAGGGATTCCATTTTCCTCCACAGTTTCTCAGGGGGACGTGAGAGTTCACAGGATCAGATTCAGGGAAGAGTTTTTTAACACTTGTGTTGCAAACTTTGTTTTCAGTCTGGTTATAAAATTGTGTTTAAAATATGTTAATGCCGTAAGAGAGATTTTCAAACTTTTACTTTTTTTAAATCAGGGAAATACTTTTATTTTACTTGGCATCTCAACTTTCAAGAGTTTGGGCTTGTGGGGAGGGTCATAGTAGGCAGTGCCGGGTTTAATGGGTAAAAAGGAGCAGGGACAGGACTCCCTCCATGACAGTCCCAGCCTCACCCAGAGCAGCTCCGCAGGCACTTCTGGGATGACAGTCTGCAAAAATCAGCCATTGTCCAATTGTCAAGCCCGTTGATATGAATCGAGTATTGGTAGAACTTCTGGGCGCTGTGTAGAAAATGCTGCTGTCTGGGAAAAGGGCAGGTGGGAGAGTCGAAGGCTGTGCATTCGTTAATGAATGTGGGAGGGGCGATATGTGGGTAGGGGAGAAAGAAATCCAGACTATTAGGTATATTGTACAGCACGGGGAATATGACCAGTATTTTACAATGACTGTAAATGGAGTATAACCTTTAAAAATTGTGAATCACTACATTGTACACCTGTAACTTATATAACATTGTACAGCAACTATACTTCAATTAAAAAAAAAAAGAATGAATGTACATTCTTTAAGAAGTGATGCTGTCTGGTTCATTAAGAAGTGAAGTTTCTCAGCACCTCCATTTGCCATGCCCCTCCTCCTTCCCTTTCTCCCAACTCCTTACTCTCCTGTCTCGGGGCTCTGTAGTCTCCAGACTGAGGCTCAGAGGTGGAGGTGATAATAAATGTGGAGCTGGAGTGGACCCAGAGGGTACACTAAATACATCCCAGTACAGAAAGATATCCCATCTGGGGAGGGGCCAATAGGGTACCAGAAGGAGGTGCCCAGTGGGGAGCTGTAGTTTGTCACTGACATTGATAGGAATGCCCATGATGTGGTGATAATACAAGCAGACCAACCTGTGGTCAGGTTTATTATTATTAATTCTCTACAGACTGTGCACCCCTTCTTGCCTGCACCTGGAGTGGGCTCTCCCCCGACTCTGCCCATGGTCTGCCACTGAAGTGATGGCAAACTCAGGATCACGGCTCGGCTTAAGGCATTGAGCCTGGGCTGTGTCCACAGTGTGGAGGAGAGGCTAACACTCCACCAGGCTCACAAGAGACAATGAAACCTTCTTAAATTGGACAATTTGGGGTTGGCGGAGGGACGCGGGCAGAGCTCAGGGAATCCTTCCCGTTAAATCTAGAGGCCTGGTTTTGTCCCAGATCTTTAGGAAAAAAGTATTAATGGATTTTCTCTTTCTCCCTAAGGAATTATAAATTCCTTGGTGTGAAGGGTAAAGGAAAAAAAAAAAAGCTTTCCTCTCTCTCAAAGTCATTTCCTGTCTGGATAATTTGGAGAATCAGATAAACATCCTCAAGGATTCTGCTTTCTTTACTAATTTGTCCGAACAGTGAGGGGAGAGACCCTAGGAATGCCTTAACTGGTGAAACCTTTCCTTGGTTTGGGCAAAATATTTTAAATGTTACAGAAACCAAACTGTGACAAGTAGGTGGATGCTTAGAAATATGAGTTAAAGGTGACCAGTTTTAACAGTCTAGGAACCCTTATGTGATGTCCCCCAGCTCTCTTACCATACGGGCTTTTCTATGAGTAGGGGAGGCTCTGGTACTGAGATGCAGGCGGGGACTTCCTACGTGATGCTGTATTGGATGGGTTTGTTTTGCCTTGAGTTGGGAATAAGCATCACATCTTATGACATCACATGGTCCTGGCAGACAAGCAAGTTGCACAGGTTGCTCCCTGGTATAGGGTGACTCATGGGAAAATCCTAGGCAGACAGCAAGCCCGGTATCTTGAAATTTCTTTGCATTTTCACCTGCTTCTCTTTCCCTCACATCTCATATGTTCTCCTGCCTTCCCAAGACTGACCTCTTCACCTGTGTTCTCCGTAGAATCCTCTCCAGCTTCTTCTGACCCGTGGACCTTCAGATAGCGCCCTTTCTTTCTAAGCATCCTCTCGGGCCTCTTCAAACGTGCTCACATAGTCTCTCCTTCAGAGCAGTCTTCCATCAGCATCTTGCTACTTCATTTATATATTTGTCTCTCCCTCTTTTTTCACTGGCAAACTTCTAGAAAGAGAGGTCTGTGATCTTATCTCCTGCTCACTCCTAAACCACTGTATCCATTGGTCCCAAATTGTCCTTCCAAAGGTCAACAGCAAGTGTCTGATCATAAAACCCAGGGCCTTTCTCCCTTCCCCTGCCCTGTCTGCAGCCTTCAGCTCTGTCCACTGTATTGTACTCTTCCAGGCCTTCAGAACTCTGGACTTCAGGACTTTATTTCTGCCTTTGGCTCCGTGTTGTGGTTGCAGGAGGCATGTCTTCAGCCTTCTCACTCTTCTCATTCTTCATTCTTTCCCTTGAGAAGCTCATTTAGTCCCAAGGCAGCAGCCATCCCCTCTCGGAGGTGCCCCCTGGAACACTTTTCCTGAGTTTTAGTCATGCACTTTGCTGTAGTTCTCTACCTGGAAATAACTGTCATCATCTTTATCATTATCCACGTGAAACTACTAGTCATGTGTATCCCCTTCTCCACTGAGCTCACCTTTTATAGTTTCATGGTGAGTCATGAGGCCAGGTTTATATCATCCAATTGTGTAACTTTAGGCAAATTCTTCAATGCTCCTTGCCTCAGTTTCCACATTTGTAAAATATAAATGATTTCTGGATCTGTGTCTATAAATGTACCTTGACCCTCCTACTTACTAGCTCGATTGACTGACCTAAGCAAATTATGCATTTCTTCTAAGCCTCAATGTCTTCATTTTAAAATAAAAACATTAATATTTAATTAATAGGGTTGATTTGAGGATTACATGAGGTAAATACAAGTGCATACATGTGCGTAATGCTTAATACGGTAGCTGTTATTCTTCCTGTTACCTAGGCTTGATACTTTGGAACATTTTTGATTTCTTCTTCTTTCCTATAGCTAGATAATGACCAGGTCTTATCAATCATTCCTTGGTAGTGTCTTGATAGAAACTTTCAACATTGACTACCTGCCTACGGCAAGGCTCTGTGCTGTATACTTTATATATGGTGGTTCTTATCTTTACCGTCACCTGCAGTGTAGGCATTTCTGTTAAGGAAACTACTTCAGAGATTTAAGTGACTTGCTCAAGTAACATGGCTAATGACTAACTGAGCTGGAATTCAAACTAAGTCTGGCTGCCTTTACAGCCAGCTCTGTTTCCACCATCCTGGTCTTTCTTCTCCCTCCCTTCCTTCCTTCCTTCCTCTTCCCACTGCTGTCAGTCGAAATCTGTCTCTCCCATTCTTGTCCAGTGGCCTCTCTGCCTCCAATCTCCCCCAGTTCCATTTCATCCCATCTGTCACCAGCAGATTTACCCTCATCTCCTTCCTGGGAGGCATTTAACAACCTCCATTATCTCTTGAAGACATCTGGCATTTAAGCCCTCCCTCTCCAGCCTCATTTCTTATATTCCTGCCTAAGAGCTGTTTTTGTGTGCCTCCAGTGTCCTCTATGTATGTACTACAATTTTTTAAAGACGTTTTCTCTACATGGAAATACTGACTAGGTTAAATCTCATTAAAAACATGAAAATTCTGCTGACTGGGTAAGCCTATTTTTTTTTGCTGTTGTTGTTATTTTAACAAGCACGACTATTTAGCCAGGTCGGGTACAGATTCATTCAGATAATACAAGTTAAGTATATGTCATTAGAGCTATTATTGGAGACCTGTTTTCGAACTTGGCATTTCTTTCTTCCTTTTTTTTAAAAAAAATTATCATTTATTTATTTATTTATTTTGGTTGTGCTGGCTCCTTAGCTGTGGCACACAGGCTCTTTAGTTGCGGCAGGCAAGCTCCTTAGTTGCAGCATGCATGTGGGACCTAGTTCGCTGACGAGGGATCGAACCCGGGCCCCCTGCATTGGGAGTACAGAGCCTTAACCATTGGACTACCAGGGAAGTCCTGAACTTGGCATTTCTTAATAAAAGGGATCCAAATTGGAAAAGAAGTAAAACTGTCACTGTTTGCAGATGACATGATACTGTACATAGAAAATCTTAAAGACACTACCAGAAAACTACTGGAGCTCATCAATGAACTTGGTAAAGTTGCAGGATACAAAATGAATACACAGAAATCTCCTACTTTCCTATACACTAACAATGAAAGATCAGAAAGAGAAATTAAGAAAACAATCTCATTTACCGTCGCATCAAAAAGAATAAAATACCTAGGAATAACCTACCTAAGGAGGCAAAAGACCTGTACTATGAAAACTATAAGACACTGATGAAAGAAACCAAATAAGACACAAACAGATGGAAAGATATACTGCGTTCTTGGATTGGAAGAATCAGTATTTTCAAAATGACCATACTACCCAAGGCAATCTACAGATTCACTGCAATACCTATCAAATTACCAATGACATTTTTCACAGAACTAGAACAAAAAAATCTTAAAATTTGTATGGAAACACAAAAGACCCTGAATAGCTACAACAATCTTGGGAAAGAGAAACAGAGCTGGAGGAATCAGGCTCCCTGACTTCAGACTATACTTCAAAGCTACAGTCATCAGAACAGTATGGTACTGGCACAAAAACAGAGATGCAGATCAACGGAACAGGATAGAGAGCCCAGAAGTAAACCCATGCGCTTATGGTCAATCAGTCTGTGGCAAAGGAGGCAAGAATATACAATGGTAAACCTGGCATTTCTTAGTGCCCTTGAGTTCAGTTCTGTGACTCCTGTATCCATTCTCTGGCATCCTTATTCCTTTCTGAGGCAATGATATCTACTCTGGAAATGTATGTGGTGGGTGTAGAGCTCAAAGATACCCATTGCAGCAGCATTTATAAATTGGAAAGATAAAAACACTAAATGGTTTTAGAACATTAGTGCAGCCATTAAATAATCTTTGCAAGGAATTTTAAACACGTGGGGAATGGCTTTTGATATGTAAACAGCAACAAAAGAATCAAGACAGAGAGGAAATGATGACAACAAACAACAAAAAGCAGTATACAAATTACCTTCTCATTAAGACCTCAAATATATAGTATAAAATATGGGGGGGACCTTTTGATTAAAGAATTATTAGTAATTTTTTTCTTGCTTTGCTGCAATTTCCTATACTTTGCAAGTTTTCTGCTTTGAGGGCATAACTTTTATTCTCAGACAAAAATAACATGATGACTTACAACAAATAAGGATGCGGGGATAATTCCCTGTGTTGGGGTCCCCAAGATCACCCCCAGATTCAGTGATTTGCTGGTAAGACTCATAGGACTCAGCATATAGTCATAAAGATGACTGATTTATTACAGCTAAAGGATATAAAGGAAAATATGGAGGCAACCAGGTGCAAGCTTCCAAGAGTCTTTGCCCAGTGCAGTCACACAGAGTGCACTTAATTCCTCCAGCAATGAGTTGTGACAACACGTGTGAAATGTTGTCCACCAGGGAAGCTCATTAGAGATTCAGTTTTGATTGGAGTTGGTCTCATAGGCAGGCTCTGCCCGGTACCTACCAAAACTCCAGACTCCCAGAAGGAAAGGAGAGGCTCAGCACAAGCAACACTGTTTCTGCAAACAGTTGAGGCACAGCCAGCCACTGTTTACCAGGAAACGTGGGAACACTCCAGATTCCAGCCAGGGGCCAACATTGCGCTGGACTTGCGAAGGCTGGCAGCCTCCGGCCTGCTCTGTTAATTCTCCTGCACATTCCCTTGCTTCTCATGCCTCACACTTCAGGCTTCCTCAGGGAATAAGTACCAGGACTCTTTCTTCCATCATAAACCCGGAATTGATGCCACTGTGGCCTTTTCAGAGTCCAGTAAAAGAGGCTGATAATGTTATGTTTGAGGTGTGGGATTACAGAAAAAAATTCACAACAAACACCTGGTTCCAGTCACCCACGCCTTTCTCAGGGCCGGAGAGGTTGTCCCCGAGTGATGCCGGCAGGAAGCCAGGGGAGCATAATTAGTGCCAGCATGCCAGCTTTGAACTCCTGTCTCCCTCCTGTCTCCGACTTAGTGTGTTTTTCCTTTGGCTCTAACTGCTTAAGAAATCAATTAACTCATAGTCCTTAGAACAAAGCAGCCAACAGTTGTCTCAGGAATGTAAGTCCTGTGAGCCCTGGGGCTCTGAGTGCAAACAGAGTGTGTCAACATCCCTGCCGTGGGACATCCTGGAGAGCGATGACTTCATGCTCACGCTCTCAGATTCTAATCCCTGTTCTCGAGCTCTTCTGCTCGAGGATGGTCACTTCCTTAGCATGTGTACAGAACCGAAGAGGATTCAGCAAAGTTCCTTGCTCTACTCCTCGTCCCCCGTCCCCCATTGTTTTTTGGCCCCTCCAGAACGTCTCCAGCGTCTGCCTTGACACCTGTGCATGTAGCTAAGCTACAGGGTCAGTTTAACAAAGGAGTTCACGTTCTTCCCGCTTCCTCCCACCGCCCTTCTCCCAGTCTGTGTTCAGTGGAATCTGAGCCCCCCGTGGCGTCCAATAAAACAACAAAATTTGTATCATGATAGACGTGAGCCCTTGTCTTTATTCAGCCTTACTGAGAAGAGAAAACATTTCTGCTTATTCTTGCTTACTGTGTCCAGGCTTTATCCCTGATGAATATTCGTTGTTTGTTTTTTAAGTATAGCAGCCAATGGAGTAAATAAGTTTATTATTTTATGCATGTGTTTACTTTTACTTTTTATACCCCCCCCATTCTCTTTAGTAACCTATGTCGATGAGGATGAAAATGAAATACTTGAATTGTCGTCTAATAAAACATTCTTGGTCACGCTAAAGATTCCAGAGGAGTGTGTTACTGAAGAGAAATTGCCTGACCTGCTCACGAAAAGGGTAGGATACCTTATGCCTTGTTACTGAGTTCTTAGCCTTAGAGTCTGAATTCTCCTGGAACAGTTGGCTTAGAGCTAGCCGGTAGGTAGCTTCAAGCTTGGATTCTTTGTCTGTGTAGTGGCAGAAACCAGTGCTTAGAAATGGATTTTCTGTAGTGCAAAGCCAGAGGGAGGAGCCCTGGCCTCCAGCTAAATGCATCCTGGAGGAGAGTGTTCTGTTTCTCATTCTGGTCTTATACTTGATTCAACCTGAAGTTTCATTGAGGGTCTGCGATGTGCTCAACAACATGCCCGGTGCTAGGGTCACAAAGTCTGAGCGCTCAATGGGAGCTCACGGTCCAAGTAGAGGAAGCAATTAAATAGTTATAAACAGTGTGATATGTTCCATCACTGAGATACGTACAGTGTGTTTTATATAAACATGGAGGTGGGGATGGAGGCACGCAGGGCCTCCTGGAGGAGGTGACACTCAGGAAGAATCTTGAAATATGAAGTAGGGGTGTTCCAGATTAGAGAGCAGGGAATAATAGAGGATGTGCCAGGGCCCCTGCATACTGTGTAGCGGACTTGCAGAGGTGAGGCTGAACAGGAGGGGACGGGTCAGCTCATGAAGGTCTCTGTGTTCTTTGACGAGGCCCTGAGAGATTTTAATCTGCAGGCTGACATGGTCAGCTTCTGATTTCAGTTGTTCTGTGTGATGATGGAAAAACACTGGAAGTAGAGCGCTTAGTTAGAGGGTGTTGTAGTAAGTTGGGTGACAAATGAGAGAGCCTTGAACTAGGGCAATGTCAGAGGGAGTAATTAAGGTTCAAGTGAGATTTCAGAGGTCTTCTCCCTCAGTAGGACTTCATGGCTGGTTGGATGTGGGTCTGAGGGAGAGCATGGCTCCAGGCTCCTGGTTGGGTGGCCACGTGGGTGGACGGTGACATCATTCACGGAGCAGGAAATGCAAGAGAATGAGCCTCTGTGCAATATGGGGGCTCTGCAGCCAGACCACGAGGGTTGGTGGACAGCCCTGGTCACCTTGTCAAAGACAGGGTGGTTCACGGCCAGACCCAGAAAAGTTTTTGATAAGAAAACCTAAGCAAGACTAGCCTGCCGTCTGTTACCCTCTTCCCTGCAGTTGATAGTTTGAATGGAGTGAGCCCTCTTTATTTGGCTTCCATCTGATTCCATCTAGGTCACCCCAGAGTCAGTTTCTGGGCAGCCAGGTGCATACTGTTTGATTGCCCCTTTGATCACAGGAGTTTGTACCTTGCGAGGATTATTCCAGGTTTCTCTTCCTCCTTCGTTTCCTTGTTTATGTCTTATCTGCAGTTCCCTTTTCCTCCTTTCCCGCCACCTGCTTCCAGAGCAAGCTGCTGAGTGAATAGCCTATTGCTACTTTCCTCTTGGTTGCCTTTTTTTTGTTTTTTTTAATAGTTTGGCCACGTCGCGTGGCATGCAGGATCCCAGTTCCCCTACCGGGGATCGAACCCACACCCCCTGCAGTGGAAGCTCGGAGTCTTAACCACTGGACCACTGGGGAAGTAAGTCCACTGGGTGCTTTTTTCATTGAGGGGTTTTGCACTGGCCGAGCAGAAACCAAGTGAGTCAGCGTCCACATGTGTCACCTGTTACAGACTGGACACTCTACGTCAAGGGGAACTGGGTATTAATCACTCACTTTAAAGCCATATCTCTTTTGCACAGAAGCAGGCGTGAGCAGATTCTACAGGTGTTTTTAACTCATCACCGGGTAGTGGCTGAGGAACAGGGACTGGCAGATCTCTGGGGCAAGTTCACAGGCCTCTTTGAGCTTGTTCCTGCACTTTCCCTGTATACCCACAGGTGCATATGGGGTGCCTATACAGAACTTTGTAAAACATTTTTTTTTCTTTTCTTTTTTTTTGTGGTATGCGGGCCTCTCACTGTTGTGACCTCTCCTGTTGCGGAGCACAGGCTCCGGACGCACAGGCTCAGCAGCCATGGCTCACGGGCCCAGCCGCTCCGAGGAATGTGGGATCCTCCCTGACCAGGGCACGAACCCGTGTCCCCTGCATCGGCAGGCCGACTCTCAACCACTGCGCCACCAGGGAAGCCCTGTAAAACATTTTTAAAAAGAATTATCTGACTTGCAGATGATAAACGTAAGGTGCAGTGAGCTGAAATGACTCCTGCCCCTGGCTTCCCAATCAAATATGTTCAGGAACAAAAATGAGGAACTTAGAGATATTACTGTCTAATTACTATCTAATTATCAGGTCAAGAACCCCTTTCTTCCACTTAGGCCAGTTTCCAGAAGCTTCTGGACATGGAAGGTAAATGGGAGTCGATATTGAAACACTGTGCCCTCTCTTTTGCTTTACTGTCTTGCTTTTCTAAACACAGTTTTCCTGGCCCCTCTCATATCTCACTGCCAGTTTCCTTCTCTTAGGGTTGGGGCCGATACTCTGCTTAAGGCAGCCCGTTAGCTCTGTGGTGTCATAGCTCAGTCCACGTGCATGTTGCCGAATTAGCGTTGGCCCCTCTGATGATGCAGGGAAGGCATCCCTCTTCCTCTGGAAGCTGTTTTCTTTTCTTTCTCTCTTTTTTTTTTTTTAACACTATCACTTTTTAAAAGGTTGAGGTATAGTTGATATACAGTATTATAAGTTTCAGGTGTACAACATAGTCACAGTTTTTAAGGTCACACTCCAATTATAGTTATTATAAAATATTGGCTATATTCCCTGTGTGTGTACAATACATCCTTTTAGCTTATTTATTTTATACATAGTAGTTTGTACGTCTTAATCCCCTCCCCCCATCTTGCCTGTCCCCGCTTCCTTCTCCCCACTGGTAACCACTAGTTTGTTCTATGTATCTGTGAGTCTGTTTCTTTTTTGTTATATTCACTAGTTTGTTTTATTTTTTACATTCCACATATAATTGTTATCTTACAGCATTTGTCTTTCTCTGTCTGACTTATTTCACTTATTTCATAATACCCTCGAAGTCCATCCGTGTTGCTGCAAATGGCAGTATCGTATTCTTTTTTAGGGCTGAGTAGTATTCCATTGTCTCTATGCACCACATCTTCTTTATCCATTCATCTGTTGATGGGCTCTTAGGTTGCTTCCATGTCTTGGCTATTGTAAATAATTGGAAGCGGTTTTTGATGAGCCACTGTACCTGACTCTGGTGATCAGCTCACCGGGCTCTGAGCTCAGTTTGTACCCAGCCTCATAGACATAGTGTGAGAGACACCAGAGCAAGGGGTGAGGAGCCCCTCTTTTCACTTTTTTGGTCCCAAAGTGGGTAGTGTGGTTAACAGCTCCTAAATATGTCCTAATTATAGCTGGGGACCATGCCACCAAAAAGAATGTTAGAGTGGACACTGAAAGTGATCTAGTATACCACTCCATCTCTTAACATAAAATTTTAACTTAACATTTCTTCTGAGTACCTACTATGTTCAAAACACAGTGATTAGGGCCCTAAGGATTAATAAAGGAAAGATGAGAGGGAGGGAAAAAAGAAGGAAAGACAAACATAACTCCTGACATAAGAAGCTCAATCTTAAAGGAAGAGAGTGGCATTATTGTTGTTATTATTGCTGTTATTTTCAGCTCTTGAAAAATAATCCCGTCTGTAGCATCCTCATCTTCTTCCCTCTCCTTCTGAGCAGCCCTGGGAGAGCCACTTTCCAACCTCCCGGGTTTTCTAAATGACTGTCGGCCTGCTGGCAATATTCTTTTCTGTGGGGCTCAAAATCTATAAGATGACCCAGTCGTTTTCCCCCAAAGTTCTTAACACTTAATGCTACTTTCCTCCTTGATATTCGGAAGGATCCACTTTCCTCCTTGCTTCATCTCCACTGGGTGGTGTGATAAAACATGAGGAAGCTGCCTTAGTGTCTGTAACATCTAGGATTGAATCCCTTACTAGCAGAGTGGCCTGGGCCATGTTCTGTAACCTCCCCGAATGCCTGGAATTTTTTTTTCTTTTTTGATCAGTGAGAAAGGGAGAGATAGCAGAGATAGCAATGCCTCTTATGTCAAGATTCTTATGCAGATCACAGCAACAGTGACAGGATTAGAGGAGGTGGTCTAGTCCCGTCTGCTCTACCTGGGAGAGAATGAATTGTCACCAGTGAGTTAAGTGGGAGCGAAATATGGATGCAGCCTGCATGAGATTCCGCTTGGGATGCGGGGGAGACAGGTGGGCACGTTTTCCTCGGGGGTAGTTCTGCTGCTTGCTGCCGGATAAAACTGTGAGGCACTGAGCTGTGATAGGTGCTGCAGGGCGTGCCAGGCTCAGCATGGGGGAAACCGTAGGTGTGGAATTTCCAAAACAACGTCAGGGCTGAGGCTTTAGGCCGGCAGGAGTGTCTCTGGCCGGGCTCTCAGAGGCCTGGCCGTGGGCTTGCTTCCAGCCTCAGAGCTGGGTCCATGCTGGGGGGTGTACCCAGATCCCAGCACTGTCCTCCTGCCTGCTAAGAGCAAGGCGTTTAACCTTCAAAGTAAATTTTAAAGAGATGCAACGTAAATACATTCAGGCACAAGTTCTCGGATACCATAGGTGAGAATTCACATCTCTGAAGCATGAAGAAAAGACTAATCAAAGACTGGGAGAAGATATTTATGACACAAAACCAACAGCTAGTGTCCAGAATGTAACACCAATCAGTTTGGATAAGACAACCCAAGAGAAAGACAGGGCCCTAATAGGCAATTCAAAGGTGAGAAATCCCACAGAGTTAATAAACACACAAAAAGATACTCAACCTCACTAGAAAGCGAGACATTGCCAATGAAAATGATGTAAAACACGATGTTATGCTCATCAGATTGGCAGAAATGGAAAAATCTGGTAACATTAAATGCTGGCAAGGCTGTGGGAAATAGAGCATTTATACATTGCTGGGAGGGGAGTGAAATGGAGAGCAATTCAGAAAGACTTAGTTAAGGTAGAGATGTGCTAACTCTTGGACCCAAGTCCATCTCTTGGTATATGGCCCAGGGAAACTCTTACCTGTGTAAGAAGAGAGGCTCAGAGAGGTTCAGGCAGGATCACTTCAGCATAGTTTGTAGCAGGAGAAAATCAGAAACAAAGCCCATGGCCACCAGTAGGGGAAGGGATGAAGTGGAGCAATCATTTCATGGAATCTCTGCAGAGTTAGGAGTCACACTGAATGACCTCCCTCTAGATGTACCATTATGGGTAAACCTCACATGTGATTTTGAGTGGAAAAAAAAGCAAGTCAGAGAAGATTATGTAGAATATGGTATGTTTTATTTGAATAAAAATGTGCATTAAATTTATGTATAGTTATGATTACACAGGGGAGTGTTAGGTTTATAAAAACATGCATGGAAAGGATACATGCCAGCTTCAGGACAGTGGTTAGTAGTGGGGAGGGAGGGAGGAAAAACAGAATAGTGTGTAGGAATAGCTTTAGCTGTGCTGGGTTTCTTCACGTAAAGGGCTCAACTAAATATGGTAAAATGTGAGGGCATGAAACCTGGGTAGTTGCGAACACAGATGTCATTATTTTTTATGGTTGCAACATTTCATGGATAAAATAAGAACTCCGAATCTTTGCCATTGTTCCCCCCTTGGTCCCATTATCCAGAAACAGCGTGGCTGTTTCTCCTTGGAGTGAAGCTCTGGAGAAAAGAGAGAAGAGGCCCTTGTTTGGTTATAAACGGGGCCCTGAGCGGCCTGTTTTGCAGTCTTCCTAGCCCCGCGGGAGTTCCCTCCTTCCCATGGTGCTTCGGGTCTGTGTGGGCTCAGGCTGCCGACCAGTAAGGCCACAGGTCTCAGCGCAACATACGAGATGTTGAAAATCCCAGCCTGGTCACTTGATCCTTACAAATGAGATCCCTTGAAATGAATGCTAACTTGAATTTTGGTTGGTGAGGGGCCCACCCCTTCCTGTTTCTTCATCCAGAGCCTCTAGGTAAGTTAATTCCTCCCTAGAGTTGGATCTCCTTTGCTTAGGAGTAGTTTTGCTTTGTCAGGTGATAGATATGCAGTATGACCTGGCAGTAATGTGTGTGGTTGTTAATTTGGCCCTGTTTGTTTTAGCTCACAGATGTGTACAGTTCATCACCAGCTCTGAGCCGTTACTTTACTTCAGTTGAAATCGTAGACTGCAGGTAAGAATGTGGAGCATTATGTGCTGGTGTCTCTCTGGAAATGGACACTCATCGCTAGTCACCAAAAAGGACTTCCCTAATCCGAAAGCACGGAGGGGACCAACGGAAGATAGAACCATAGTGTCAGTGCCGGGAGGGTCTTTGGAGGCCAACTAGCTCAATGCCCTTATTTTACGAAGGAAAAAAATGAAATCCAGATAAATTATATGACTCAACACAGTAACAGGGAATAGAGCAAAAGCCCAGACAAACCATTTCTGTTTCCCAGCAGATGCTCGAATAAGCTAAGAGTAGAAATAGAAATAGATCTCAGATAGTGCTGGATTATGTACTGGCTTTTGCTTTTGAGGAACACAAGTCATATACAAGTTCACGCTCCTTGTATAATATTAAAAAATAAAGATACATGCTACCAGCAAAGTACACATCCTGCCTTCCCCTGCCCCACTACCCCTGGACACTTCCTGTGCCAATCAATTCCGCAGTGAATTCCAGTCCCTTCTACAAAATGAACAACAATCACTGGTCTGTGTGATTTCTTCTGTGCAGGTATTTACCATATATACTTTGTGTATTATATATGTGTAACATATACGCACGCATATGTATTGTTTCCTTTCCTCCTAATCTCTTATGTTTTTATATATGTCTATAGACACTTAGGTAAAAGTGTGTATGTATGTAGAAGAGTCATTTGATTATCCTTTTATATTGTTAGGACAAGATTTACAAGACAAAGCTTTATTACCTGCTGTGCCCAAGATAGCCCTGGAATATGACCATCAAAGGCAATTTTACATTGAGGTTCCTCCACTCAAACCATAAATTTCCCAAACCTGGGAGGGGAAGCACCAGAGCACAGTGGGGTAAAACCAAAGGGATTTGGAGTCTGAAAACACAGTGGCAGGTTGCCTTGTCAACAGCACTATTCCTCCTTCATTATGGACCGCCAGCGTGCATGCTACCTTATGGTGACACTTTTGACCTAGCCTATTTTATTCATAAATTACTGGTATTAAAACGCCAATAGAAAAGGGAGAAATGCATAATCAGACCCAACTTTCCTCTTAGTGCGCTTGCCCTAACTTACAATTCAAAGACAGGTGAGAGAGGAAGGATATTCAGAGCGTAAAGGGTCTTACCAAGAATCCAGCCCATATTACGGGTCTAGAGGAGGTGGGATTGCATAATGGGTTGGGGTAAACACTGAGAAAACCCATCAGAAAACTGAGTAAAACAAAATCTGAAGAGTAATGTGAGAGTCTATTTTTAAAAGTTATTTGAAAGAAAAACCCAGGGGTTTTAGGATTTTCGGATAAAGAAATTCTGCTGGGAAACATTTTTGTTTCATTTTTTAAAGTCCAGACAGTTTCAACAGTGTCGAACTGAGAAACAAACGCATTGCCTCCAAAGCCTGCGCATCAGTCCGAGTATTGGTGTATGTGACCTCTGGCCACAAGAGGGAGCTCTTTGCCAGTCGTTGGCAGGGACAGTGTTCTGATTCACTCCTGGGACTGGCTTGTCTGCAAAACTTGCCCTTATGTAAAATAGATAGCTAGTGGGAAGCAGCCGCATAGCACAAGGAGATCAGCTCTGTGCTTTGTGACCACCTAGAGGGGTGGGATAGGGAGGGTGGGAGGGAGGGACATGCAAGAGGGAAGAGATATGGGAATATACGTATATGTATAACTGATTCACTTTGTTATAAAGCAGAAACTAACACACCATTGTAAACCAATTATACTCCAATAAAGATGTTAAAAAAAAAAAAAAAAAAGAAAAAAAACTCCAAACTTGCCCTTGGGTGAGGGTCTCAGATGTGGCCACTCTTAAATATTTTATTGCTCTTAATCTGGACCTTTTTAAAAAATCTAGGCCTTCTTGAACCAAAGGATATCTGTTGAGAAATCTAAATGTTAAGGTAGCATTTAACAAGCTGTATAGACTGTTGATTAGCTGAGGATAGCCTCATGATTATTTTTATTTTAGAAATAGGAAAGTATGTTCTAAGAAGATGAAAACTCCCTTTCCTTAGGTCCCCTTACTGAGAGTTGCAAAACCTTAGGAAGTGGAAATGGGACAGAAAAAGTTTCTCACTTTGGGGACAAACCAGGGAGGTATGATCTGCTGCTGGTACCCAGGGTCATCTGTGAGAGATTAGGAGTCTGCATCCAGCCGATGGCAGGGAGCTTTGGGCCCTACCTTGAACATTTTATAGGTTAAGTAATGAACTAGTTAAACTGAGTAGCTCTGACACACACTTGTTGGGGCAGGGAGAGGCTGTGGTGTGAGAACAGGGAGAAAAAGGGGTTCCCTGGCCTGCCTCAGGGGTAAAGCCTGGTATTGGGCAGCTCTTGGAGCCTCGTTGACAATAGCCGAGTCAGTATCTCCCCTGCATGGCCTCTCCTGGTGGACTCCAAGGGGATGGGTTCTAGGTGGAAGGAGGAGGTTAGGACCACCTCAACTTTGTGTGATGAATGCATTGATGAGGGGGCTTCTAGGGCAGTACACTCTTTGCCCTTTTGTCCTGGGAGGGAATGCAGAACTAAAAAGATGTTTTTCCTAAAATCAGTTTCATGAATTGCAGTGTGATTCCGTTGATTTTTTTTTTTTTTTTTTTAGCGGTACGCGGGCCTCTCACTGTTGTGGCCTCTCCCGTTGCGGAGCACAGGCCCCGGACGCCCAGGCCCAGCGGCCATGGCTCACGGGCCCGGCCGCTCCGCGACATGTGGGATCTTCTCGGACCGGGGCACAAACCCGTGTCCCCTGCATCGGCAGGCGGACTCCCAACCACTGCGCCACCAGGGAAGCCCTCTGTTGATATTTTTAACTGTCTCTGTTTGGTTTGCCTTTCAGTGGTGAAAACGCCACAATAACCTACCACCTGCACTTTGGGTTTCCGTCAGAAGACCACAACTTTATGAAGTATGTGATGAGTGAAGAGCTGGTGCTGGGCGTTTTGCAGCAGGATTTCCATGATCAGAACGTGTCCGGTTGTGAGACTCTGGGGCTTGACCCAGTGTCCCTCTGGTTCTCTGGTAAGTCGAGCACATCAGAAGGCAGAGCTGTGATGATAAACAAGGGAACCAGACGGGGCAGATGGCTCGATTTGCTTTCTGAGCAGGTGATGTTCCACGCTCCGTGGAGGTCACCCAGTCCCTGCCCTCTGGGAGCAGACAGAGCAACTGGAAAAAATGTTACGGAAACAACTAAACTATAAACATGAGGGTTGCTATGTGTTTCCTTGCTGTGGTTCACCCACCTTCTAAGCCCCATATCCCACATCAGAATATCATTAGAAACTTTCATGGAAACACTGTGGTCTCACAAGAGAAGCAAGTGCTGAAGAGTTTGAAGTAAACAATATAGTTAAATTGTTGAAAGATGACCTCAGTATGGGGAATCTATCTCTTTTTCCATTGAAGGCCACTGAGTCCATTAAGACAGGGGTCCCCAACCCCCCGGGCTGTGGACCGGTACCGGTCCGTGGCCTGTTAGGAGGCAGGCCGCGTAGGAGGAGGTGAGCGACGGGCGAGCGAGTGAAGCTTCATCTGCCACCCCCAGCTCTCCCCCTCGCTCCCCATCGCTCGCGTTACCGCCTGAAACACCCCCCCGACTCCCACCTCCACCCCCAGTCTGTGGAAAAGTCGTCTTCCGTGAAACCGGTCCCTGGTGCCAAAAAGTTGGGGACTGCTGCATTAAGATATTAATAGAGGGACATAAAAAGACAAGTTCGTCTCTTTCCATAGAAGATTGTAATACATTTACTCATCTACTTTTAAAACTAAGAAAAGGATGGGCAAATGGATATGTTTTTTAACAAGCATAGAAGATACCCGACTTGTCAGAATCTGAGAACATTGTACAAAACCTGCCAGAAAGGAAGGTGGAAAGGTGAGATGACCGCCAGCCTTCGAGACCTCCCTCCCTCACGTGTGTCTGCACTGAGCTTTGGCCTTACTTCCCATTCTCCTTCTCATTTCCCACTTCTGATTCCTCACTTGGAGAGGTTTTAGCTCTTGTTTAATGCCAACAGTCTTGGATGGTTTTTCAGCCACAACCCATCAGAAACACTGCACATCAGCAGTGGTAAATACTAGTGGAAAGAATGAAAAAGGTGAACGAGAAGGAGGTGTGGTGAGTGGCAGGCACGGGGCCAGCAGCCGAGGGTCAGGAGAGTGCAACAGATTATAAAGCGCACGCGTTACCACACGCTGTGAGAAGAGGCGTTTATTGTGATGACGCTTGATTCTTGGGAACGGAAAGTGGAAGTGGACTGATCTCGGCCTGGGAAGGCAGAGAGTTTTATAAAGCAGTTCTTAAAGCTCTCTTTTTCCCAAATGAATAAAAGGAATGACTTTCAGAGGGCCAACTTTTAGCTCACTGGGAAAGTCACATAAATGAATAGTTTCTTCACTGAGCATCTAAATAAATGAAGTGTGTCTCTGGGCCAGGCAGATAACATACTGTGTGGAGTGAAGAGGTTCTGCCCCCTGTACAGGAATTTTAGAAAGAAAGAAGGGGGTGAGGGAGAGGGAGAGAAGGAAGGAAGGAAGGAAGGACCTTTCAGCCCACTCCTGTGCACGGCAGAGAGAGGGGAGGCCCACCCTGCCTGCTGTGTGGTGACTGACCTTGACTTCCTGAGCCTCCTCTTTGAAGCTGTGGTCCCCAGCACTTTCTAAATGAAGACCATGGGGTGGGAGGAGGGTGAGGCAAGGTTGAGGAGGATTATGAGGCCGGCAGGTCCACGTTATGAGGGCAGGTGGCTTATGAGGTCTGACAGAAGACCTGGAACTGAACCTCAGACTCTGCATCGGGGATGCAGGCCTGAGCGACACTGTTTCTGCTCCTCAGGAGACGGTACTCTTTCTCTCAGGCATTTTTCCTGGGGATGGGGATTTCTGTGACCCCCCCCACAACCCACCTTGCAGAGCATGAGCAATGTTTGATATTTTCAGGAGTATGAGTATCAGTCCCTTCTCAGATAGAAGGGTAGACAGTGACCATTTGGGAAGCGAGGAAGGAAGAAGAGAGATGCAGAGAAGGCAGAGAGGCAGAGGGAGGGGCAGCTCAGAACCAAGTCCAGAGGGAGGGAAGAGAGGGGTGTGAGGCCTCTGGGAGGGACCAGTGAGGCCCGGGGGTGCCGACGCCAGCTCCCTGTGTTCGTAGGCACGGTGGGCTTGGCGAGGTATCCCCCCGCTCCTGTCAGGAGCTGGGCAGGCACCGTCCCACAAAGATGATGTTCTGATTCTTCAAACAGAAAAGTTTTTTTTTTTTTTTTTAAAGAAGATGTTGGGGTAGGAGTTTATTAATTAATTAATTTATTTTTGCTGTGTTGGGTCTTCGTTTCTGTGCGAGGGCTTTCTCTAGTTGTGGCAAGCGGGGGCCACTCTTCATTGCGGTGCACGGGCCTCTTCACTATCGCGGCCTCTCTTGTTGCGGAGCACAGGCTCCAGACGCGCAGGCTCAGTAGTTGTGGCTCATGGGCCTAGTTGCTCTGCGGCATGTGGGATCCTCCCAGACCAGGGCTCGAACCCATGTCCCCTGCATTAGCAGGCAGATTCTCAACCACTGCGCCACCAGGGAAGCCCTGTTTTGTTTTGTTTTGTTTTTTAACGTTTTCCTCCTTTTTAAAAAAATTATTTTATTGTAGTCGATTTACAATGTTGTGTTAATTTCTGCTGTACAGCAAAGTGATTCAGTTATACATATATATACCTTCTTTTTCATATTCTTTTCCGTTATGGTTTATCTCAAGATATTGAAGACAGTTCCCTGTGTTATACAGTAGGACTTTGTTTATCCATCTTATATGTAATAGTTTGCATCTGCTAATCCCGTACTTCCTGTCTATGCCTCCACCACCCCCATCCCCCTTGGCAACCACAATTCTGTTCTACAAAGAGCAAAGATTCTTAAAATTCTTTGGCTCATATGCCCCTTAGAGAATTTGGAGACAGCCATGTACCTTCTCCCAGGAAAAAATGCACACACTCTTCCCCCTAGACAGAATTTTACAATTTCAGGAATTCCAAGGATTCCCTGGAGCCGGGCTGCAGTTCCTCTGGGGTTCCTATGTGTGTGCTAAAGAGTCAGAACCTTAAATTAGCTTGTAATTTGGATTCCTAAGGGATTTTGTGTGTATTCCTCATTCTCTAATTTGGACATACGACAACTCTTTGGCCTAACTGCAGGCATATTGATGCCTTCTACAAATAAAAACTTCCCTTAATATTATAGTCATAAGTGAATTTTTCTTTTTTTTTTTTGCGGTACGCGGGCCTCTCACTGTTGTGACCTCTCCCGTTGTGGAGCACAGGCTCCGGACGTGCAGGCCCAGCAGCCATGGCTCACGGGCCTAGCCGCTCCGCGGCATGTGGGATCTTCCCGGACCGGGGCACGAACCCGTGTCCCCTGCATCGGCAGGCGGACTCTCAACCACTGCGCCACCAGGGAAGCCCATAAGTGAATTTTTAAATTTATATTTTCTTACAACTTTATTGAGAGATAATTAACCAATAGCACTGTGTTAATTTAAGGGGTACAGCATAATGACTTGACACACGTATTAGGAAATGACTGCTGTGACAAGTGTAGTTAACAGCCATCATCATCACCTCGTATAGTTACAAAAGTTTCTTTTCCCTCATTACGAGAACTTTGGGGATCTGCTCCCTTAGCAGCTTTCAAAGGTACCGTGCAGCAGTGTTAGTGATAGTCACCATGCTGTACACTACATCCCTAGGACTGATTTATGTTGTAATAATAGGAAGTTTGTGCCTTTTGACCACCTTCATCCAATTCCCCCTCCTCCACACCCCACCCCTGGCAACCACCAATCTGATCTCTTTTTCTGTGAATTTGTTTTTTTAAGATTCCACATATAAGTGAGATCCTGCAGTATCTGTCTTTCTCTGTCTGACTTATTTCACTTGGCACAATGTCCTCAAGGTTAAGGGACATTTTTTATCGGATCACTGCCCCCACCTCCCTTCTACCTTTGAGCTTCTTCACCGAGTGGAGGGAGGGGTCCAGAGACAAGGAGGGGAAATCTGTTTTACAATGTAAAACAGCTGCATGGGTTATTTTGGACGTGGGGTAAGTTATTTTGTCGTGTTTTCTGACATGTGAAGGAGTTAACCAGTAGACTGAGTAAGGAACAAAAGCAAAAACTGATTCATGTGAGAGAGAAGAGGAAAAAGCTCTAGGCAATGAGAAGAGTGAATCTCGTTTGCACAGATTTGGGGTAAATGGATGGGCTGGCTGCTGGCAGAGAGGCCAGTGTATGCATTCTGCCCTTGAAAGGACTGCCTGGGGTGTCAAGGGAAAACATTTAGGTTGTTGGTAGATTCCCCGGGAAACACAGAGTTTAGCCAAAGAACGCTTCTTCTCAGCCAGGACAGTTTTGCCCGCTCCGAGGTATTTGGCAAAGTCCAGAGACGTTTTAGTTGTCACAGTTGGGGGTGTTGGTGGGAAACTAGCATCTAGTGGGAAGAGGCCAGAAGGATTTTTCTAAACCTCTTACAATGCACAGGACAGCTCCTGATGGCAAAGAAATCCCCAACATCAACGGCCAGAACCCTGCTGTGGCGCACGTGGGTCCCCTGTGTCCTGTCCCGAGTCGTTGCCTGGGTACCTCTGCTTTAGTCAGGCCAGCTGTGTGCCATTTCCCTCATCAGAATGTCTCATTGAATATTGCGCTGTATTAAAAATGAAAATTTAGAGGTATTTTTATGGTTAGATTATGCAAAAAGACTGTTAAAATGTCCTCTGCATCCGAAGGGCCTCGTCAAAATGTTATTTATCATGAATTATACCGAAGCAAATAAGCAAACAATGTCATTTGCCTTTTTTTAGTTTTTTTTTTTTTTTTGCCTCTGCGTGCATGCGTGCATTTGTGTTTGCGCGTGCGTGCCTCTGTGTGCGTGTGTGCGCATGTGTGCGCCTCTGCATGTGTGCCTCTTGTGTGTGTGTGCACGTGTGCACGTGCATGCGTGTGTGTGTGTGTTGCCTGAAGAGTAAACCTCCTCTGTTAGGAATTTACAGATATTCCACTTTTACATTAGAGTTTATAATCAAACCCAATGAAATAAAATAAAAACATCAATGTTTAGAATAACCATGCTTTTTAAAAAATGGTGACTTTGCATTTTCTTTTCAGAATGAAACAGTCGAGGTCGATCTGTGTCTGAAAGCAGCACTCCACTGAACTCTGGGATGAGGAGAATTCATTCCGTTTTACAGAAGAGATCCTGTGAATTAACGTAGAAGGACGCACAGTGACTACAGGGCTGGAGACGGCCCTTTTTCTCCTGATTCTGCAGAGTCTGGCACTACGTCCAGCAAAACAGCACCCAGGGCTGCCCCAGCTGGGTCCACGTGGGGCGGGGTGACCAGGCGGCGGGTGGACCTGCAGGGCCAGGTCGCTGCTGTTCTTGAAGCACTCTCTGCCTCCACCCACACGTGAACACGCTCTCTTCAGGGTAAGGGTGGCCTTTGAGGCAGGATCCCGCCAGCCTGAGCCCCTGGCGAGAGAACGGGGAGAGGCGAGGTGAGGGAGAGCTGAGCCAATCGCTCCCTGAAATCCTCCGTCCCACCCCGATGTCTGATCTACCTCCAAGCAAGGCTGTGAGGAAAAGGCAGGCATCTCACCAGATGTAAGCAGCATCGTCTGTGTCTCCTTCCATAGCCGCATATCTCAGCAAACTAGCCTTGGCACTCCATGCAATGTTATGTAGAGCTACAGAAATGAGGTGTGTGTTTCTTATTTCCCTTCTGTGTATAGTTCCTGCGACTGCTGAACACCTCTTATGGAAACACGGGTCCATGTTAGTTTTGAACACATGACTCTCATTTTGGATAGTTTCTCCATTTATATTTTCATCAACTTTCATCAGAGAATCATTAATACTGCTTACCATCTGCTCTAGGTAGTACATGTTGGTTTTTGTTGTCCAGAGTCACTAGCCTTCCTGTAGGATTCAGTGTCTTCAGGCACTGATTGTGTATCTTATTGAAGATGGTTGTGAAACAGGAAGAACCACGCTCGGAAATAAACTGCTGGAAGTTCAACGTCAGATCCTTTTGGAGGGGTGAGGGTGGAGTGAACAAGAGTGACTCTATTGGTCGTCTACGGATATAGAATTACCTGTCACGAGGGAACAAAGTATCTTGTTAGGAAAATGGCTTTGCTGGAAATTTCCAGGAGAGTTTTGTGGTCATGTAATGAGAGTTTCTCAGCCTCAGTATCTCAGTTAAATTGGCCCTGGGTGGACAGTCAGGCTGGGGGCAGCTGCGTTCCGGGATGTGTTGGAGTGCGAGTCTCAGGCTAGATTTGCCTGGGGCTCTTTATGACCCCGGACTCTGCATAATGTGAATGTGCTTTGTTATTTAACTAAAAGATAGCATTTATCGTAAGTCGGTGTTTCATTTTGAGGATAGTTCCTCCAACTAGTGAAACAGGTGAATTTCCCTTCTTCCTCTTATTTTACATGTCAAACGTAAACCTTCATGTTTGTACTTTTAAGAAAATAATGAAGAACTTTATTTTTGCCTCCGCATTGCCACGTTGACCTTTGCTGCGTAGGGGTTGACTCTCCAGGGCCAGGATTTGGGTTGGCATGTTCTCACAGTAAATGGTATTGGAAGTGACCTTTTCATTTCCCCAGGTGTAGCTTCCCCTTCTGAGTGAATAAGATTGAACTGGGCTGGCCTGTGTCTTCCTCTCCCTGTTCCTGTTGCCTGGGGAGCAGGGGAGCCATCTCTCCTCTCCACTCCAGCCCCCACCCCGGGGCCCCTCAGGCAGGACCAGGTGTCTGAAGAGCCTGGGGCTGGAAGGAAGGGCTGTTTCCTGTCTGGAGGCAGGACCGGGTTTGGTTCTATCTTCCCTTCTCTTTTAGAAACCGCCAAGGTACAGGCACCTTGTCTTGGGTTCTGACCACTTGAAAGTCATAGAGAGGATTTTCCGTTAGTTTTGACTCTTCTGCCCAAATGGTGTGGAAAGAACTGAACTTTGTGACTAAAGCATTTTGAGGTGTTTGGGGGGAAAATGGCACTTATATACTGTTGTGCTATAGGGGATGAATTGATTGGCCATCACACATCTTCATGACGAGCATAATGAAGGTACATAAGAAGGTTTCAACGAATATCTGTGGTATCACTGAAAGGCTTTTTTTGTTTGTTTTGTTTTGTTTGTTTCTTTTTGTTTTTTTGGCCACGCGGCTTGTGGGATCCTAGTTCCCCGGCCAGGGATCTAACCCAGGCCCTCGGCAGTGGAAGAGCAGAGTCTCAACCACTGGACCATCAGGGAAGTCCCTCACTGAAGGATTTGAGGAAAAAAAACTGGTCTTTTCTGGGAGTCACTGAGGTACAGGCAGAAAGGATACAGCCAGATCAGTGGAACCTGCCCCTCCTCCCATTACTGACAAAAATTCTAGCCACGTGTCCTATTCTTTTCTCCCTTTCAATTTAACTTAGTTCTGCAGATTTTTTAATGATCTGTGTTGCAAAAGGCTATAGAATATTCCAATGAAGAAGAGGATGATAAGGACAAAAGCCACTGGTTTTATTAGGGAGTCAGGCTCTGCACAGATGAAACAGGAAACAGCAGGAAAAAATAGGTGTTAAAAATAAATAAAGACAAACTGCAGGGCTGCGTGATGGTCAGAGAAAAGGGTGAAAAGTATAGTTTAATTGGAGAAGGCTTTGCCTAGGAAGTAGGACTGGCGCTGAACCTTGAAGCAATGGTGGGATTTGGATAAACATTTGCTTTCCTTTCCACATGTTTGTGTCTTAGGATGAGCTGCATGTTTTCTCCTTTCCCCTTTAGATGTGGACTCTAGACATGGATTCTGCCCTATTCAGAGTCTGATTAGTGGTGAGAAAAATGGGAGAAATCTCTATGTCTTCCCTTCTCTGCTCCCATTACTGTTTCATTGTTTTAAAATAAGCTAATTCACACTATTACTGCATTGCTAGCAGCAATCTTTCCTTTATGATTAAAGTTCATTATCCTCTTAGTAACAGAAGGCAGCCCTCTCATCTTATAGTTAGGAAACCAGAGTCTGGAGAGGTGGAAGGACCAGCCCAGAATTCCACAGTGTTGGGGAGCAAAGTCCAGTCTAGTGGGCAACCACACATGATCAATGGCCTCCAACTGGTGGGCACCCCAGGGTCATGCTCAGTTCAGACTGGGCTACCATCTGGGAATCCATGAGGAGCACAGGTGGTGAGGGGGAAGGGATGGGTTGAGAGCTGTGATTATCAGACTGTACAAGACTCTCTGGGGTGATAACGACCCCTCAACGCTTCACCCAGTGCCTCGCAAAGGAACCCTCTGTTAGGAAAGGAGGAGAGACTTACACAGATCCATGTAACTGTTGACAGAACCGAGGCACACTCAGATCAAGTGGCTTTCTGAACTCAGTAGGTTAGCTTGGAAAAGAACAGAGTCAGATAAATGTAAACAGAATCTCCTTTTTCTCTGAAGGCTCCTGTGGAATCTTGGGGACTCAACTCTCCTGTTCTACCTATGCCTTTCCATTCCTGAGCATATTTGAAGCATCTGTCACCCAAGGTTGTCTTAAAAACGTGAGCATTTGAATTTATTTGTTGTCAACGGTAGGATTTCCTGACCTCTCTTTGTCTTTTTCTTGTACCTCTCTTCTGTTCTGTGTAAGAATTTATTCACAGACTAAGATTATTTATAGCTACTAGTATGAACTTAAAGCGGAAACCACAAAGCCTGCACATACTGCATAAAATATGCCTCTGTGAACTTAGGCTGTGTATAGTTTTACGATCAACATCAGGGAGGGGAATTTTCTGATTATATATGTGACTTAAGGGACCAATTTAAATCCTCAGTCTCTTATCAAGAACAGAAATTCTTTAACTTAGGGGTTGCATCCCCAACCCCTTGAAATTGTATACAGATATTTGTGTGTGTGTGTGTGTGTGTGTGTGTGTGAATGTACATTTTCTGTAAAGAGGGTACCCTGCTTTCATCAGAAATCCTGAAATCTATGGAAAATAGATCAGCATTATATACAGCCCTAGTAGGTATTTCAAAGCACTCCCAAAGGGTTCTCCCGCTCAAAAATAATTCCCTTTCAGAATCCCTCTACATTTCATTATAAGAACAATTTTCTTTGTTTAAGCATTTATACTTAACGTGTTCCCTAGAAAACATATTTGGGACAAGTAATTCTTTCATGGGGTAAGACTCAAACAACTACAACTTATCATGTTGTACTAAGAATATTTAAACCAATCAACTTCCACAGGGGTCCAACGTCCAAGTGAAAAATCCCAGTGTAAACCCCAGCAATTTTGTGTTTCTGCCTCTCTGGAAGACTGCCAGGTGGCCCTGCATCACCAGGCCCATCAGCACATGTTTTTCTATAGACATCATAAAGAGTTTTGTATCCCTTTACTCTTTGATATCATTTGTTCACAATCTGTGACAGATGATGTACGTACATTGAATATAATCCTCCTGCTTATGGGTGATGGAACTGAGCCTCCAATCTACATGCTCAAGTTCTCAGAGGGAGGAAGAACAGGAATCAGGATTCGAATCATTGATTATCTGACTCCAGTATCCACATTCTTTGCCCTAAGCCATGTTACGTCTTGTACTGTATTCCCTGCTATCATGCATGTCTCCTTTTGAACTTGAGTGAATCCTGGCCAAAGGTCAAAGTTAGGATTCCATGTGGAAGGATTTTGCTAAAAATAGGAAGTTAGTGGAGTATAAGATATTAAGATGTGATTGGCTCTTAGATCAAGACCATCAACTGGCTGAAGTCTCAGCAAACCTGTGTTGACACATCCAACCTTAAGCCGCTGGATTTATCCCTGCTGGGCCCCTAGCACACTGTAAATAGCAAAATTATTTAACTTTGGTTCGGTTGGGGAACAAAACAGTAATTAAACTCATAATGCATCTACTGCTTATCTCAACAAACTTTTTACTATTTTAACACCCCTAAAAATTAGGACAATAGCTATGGGTTAAATAAAACAGGAAGTTGAGAACGCAGGTGTGCATATAGAAATAGTCTAATTTGCTAATTACTCTTGCTCTCACCCTAATTTTTGGTTTAATATTTCCATACCATTTTATTGGTACTAGCTCTTACAGGTTACACCAATAGCCAAACACACTTTTGTTTAGTTTATCTATAGTTATGATTATTTAAGGAAGGGGTCTGCAAACTTATTTTCTGAAAAGGGCCCCCAAATAAATATTTTTGGTTTTGCAGGACCTACAGTGTGCATCACAACCTTTCAACTCTCCTGAGGTTGAGAAGCCACAGACAAATGAGCGGGCTGTGGGCCAGTGACGTTTTATTTACCAAAACAGCGAGTCGGCCACATTTGGCCTGTGGGCCGTAGTGTGCTGACCCCTGTTTTAGGGGATAGGCATAATTGTAGAAACACCAGAAGAAAGATAAGGGAAAATAAATAATTGGGGCGGAGGGAGAGATGCTCATTAGAGAAGAGGGGTGTGTGTGTGTGTGTGATTTTTCCAGTGTGGACGCTATTCATAGTTTATACGTGGCATATTATTTAACACATACATATACCCTGTAGTAGAGGCCCTTCTATGTAGTATGTTGGAAGAGCACTGAATTGGAAGCCAGGAAATCAGGCTCTAGGTAAAGTTCTGCCACTCATTTGAAATGTTGCATTGAGCTAGTTATCCTCTTTGAGCCAGAAAAAATAATGGGATTAAAGGATCTCCAATGATCTACCCTATCCTTCTCTGATGCTATGATTTTCCTAAGATTTCTAGGGAGAAATACAAAGTTAAAAAATATGGATTAAAAATATATAAAAACTTGGCCTGGAACTTACTAATTCAACCCATGTAACCAACCACACCACCAGAGCCAATGAGTCAAAGGACGCTCTGCGAAGGACACTGCTTAGAGGTGTGGAGTAAGAGCAACGCCACAGGTGCCCACCCGGAAGGCTATGAGTGAGGAGCTGGGTCTACACACATGTGTGGAATGAGGACTCCCCTTTGGGTGCACTTACTATGATGGGTGAAGCTTCCCTGTGACTTCAGAGGACAGTCGTGTGGACATTTTATAGGAAGAACCTGAACAGAGGAGCAGGGGACGAGGGAGTTCTTCCCACCACTGAGTAGAATGGCCCATTTCTTACAGCCACTTAGAACCAAAGATGGTCACTTCCTTCTCAAAGAGTGGGTGTTTGGGATAGTTGGTTGATCTTTGGATGTTGGACATTGAAAAGGTCCTAGGAGGCCCTGAGGCTTGCAAACTACATTCTCCAGTGACCCCTATAGAAAGGGCCGTTGTGTGTGTGTTGAGGGGCAGATAAGCTGAAAGGGCTTTGTGCCCCATGCCTGCTTCAACCAGAGTTCCCCAACCCTGGCTTTTATTTGCTGGTATTAAGTGCTGATCCAATCACTTCATTAGAAATGAGAAGATTGAGCCTGAGAAGGGGGCATAAGTGGCTATATCAGGGAGTCAGAGAAGATTCTACTGGGCATGAGAAGTTTATATTCATCTTCTGGGGAGGACGGATGCCTAGGGGCGGAAGGCACACGAAGAAGCGAATACTCAGTCCCGTCTCCGCCCAGCGACTCTCTGGGTCTCTCAGCCTTGAAGGAAACGTTCTCATAGCACTCCTCAGCAGCGTTCCCTGATGGCCTTTTCCCGAGGACGCTGTGGTTAATGAGGGTGTAGCACAGATCCTCCGAGGAGCCCTGGTCAGCATTCTCCTGCTGGTCAAAGGACAGCCATCATCAAGACCTGGCCTCTTGCCATTGCCTTTATACTTCGCCTCAACAGAGGTTCAGCCTTGGGCAAAGTCTGTCTTACACGGCCGCTTCCCTTCCATCTCTTGTGTCTGGTTTTCCTAAATGGCTGCCCCAGCCCAACCACTAGCCCAAGCTGCCAGAGTTCTCATGCTGCTCAGAGAACTCAGCCTACTCAGGCATGCATTCTCTGCCCCACATCTCAGAGTGACCCCAGACCACACTAGGTAATTCCCAAAGTCTCGGGACCCTGAGGCTGCTCATTCTTATATAAGAGAACAATCTGAAGACACCTTAAAGTGCTCGGGTTATGGTGTTTAACCACCCATTCTAGAGATATCTGCATTATTAAAAAGAGAATCCACTTAAGAGAAGGTCTCACTCAGTGAAATCTCAGGAGATAAAAAGCAAAACAGCAAGGTACAGGAGAAAGACCATGGATTTGGCAGTGAGACTTGTTTTTGAATCATGCCCCCGCCATCTTGTCGGCTGTCCGGCTTTGAGGGAACATCACTTAATGTCTCAGTTTTCTCATCTGTAAAATGGGTAGGAAAATGATAGTACAAATCTTACAGGGTTGTTGTGACAGTTACATGAGCTGATGCATGTGAAGCGCTCAGCCCACTGCATGGCATGAACCAAGTACTCAAAAAATATTAGTTCCTTTCAATAAATTGTGCAACAGAGATGGCTGTTGCTTCTGCCGTCAGGCTCTGCATATGTCCCTGGGCTCACAAGCACTGGTGTCTAAAGAATCCAATATTAAGGTCAGAAGGGGTGTTGGAGGTCTTCTCCTGCTATCTGAGGGGTCTGCATTTCTACTGTTATCTCAGAAAAAGTCTCAGAAATGTTTGCATTACCTGGATGGGAGCAGATGATGTTTCTTCATCTGGAGAAAGAAAACACACTTAATGAATTTCAGGTCATGGGGAGATTTCTGGGAGGGGAGGAGAGGAACACTGAAAGAGAAGCAACCAGAGAATCAAGGAACAGCAGGGGTAGTCTTCCTCAGGCTAGCCTGATCGTCAGCTCCCTGGGGAGTGACAGGGCCATCCAGACAAGAAACAGCCAGAGCTGTGCTGAGACGCTGAGTGGACGGAAACACATTCAGTGGGTCTTTGGGTAGGAAATCACACTTCCCTCCCTTCCTCACTCCTTTCCTTCTCTGTCCTTCCTTCCCTAAAATTTGTTGCATGTCTACCCTGTACCAGGAACTGGAGAGACAAAGAAGAATCAGACAGTCCCTGTCCTCAAGGGGCTCACAGGCAAGCATAGGAGGCAGACAAGGACCTAAGAGAGATCCACAACGCAGAGGAAAGCTGTCGTTTCTACTGTAGGTGACAGGGGATGATGACAGTGTGGAAGCTGGTGCTCAGGGAAAGCTTTACAGAGAAAGAAACTCTTAAACTGAACATTCCCAGTTTTGAGACTGCTGGCAGAAACAAACATAAGCAGACCAATTTTTCAAAAGCCAGTGTACTTAAAACCAGCTGGCTCTGGCCACTCAGCAAAGAGGCAAACACACTAGCTGAATAAGCAAACATGAGAATTCACAAAGAAGCCTCAGGATATCACCCTACGTGGGAGGTGGTTGTGCTGCTGCAGGCCACCTTGCTGTGTAAAGATTTATAGTCCCTCAGTACTGACATTCCAGATTCTCACATCTCTGTAAATTCCCCTGGCTATCTAGGACTTCCGTGACTATCACTGCAAGAAAAGGGTCTGTGGGGATCCAAGATGGTGGCTTAGGAAGACCCTACAATCAGCACCTCCCATGGAAACACCAAATCTACACCTACATATAGAGCAATTCTTTCTGAAGAAGAACTGAGGGCTGACTGAACAGCTTTGCACAATAAATGACAGAAGGACCAAACAAAGATGGATAGGAGAGATGGTATGGACAGGAAGCCCGTCCTTGATACAGCAACCTGCAGGAGGGAGGCGGGGGGGGCCCATGTGTACATTTGCCTCCACCCCCGGGTGGGGCACAGCCATAAGAATAGTGGTTTTAAAGGCACCTAGACTCTATGTGAAGAAATCCGTTTACTACCCCTAGAGCATGTGCCAAATGGGCAGGCAACTACTGGAATACTCCTCAGGTTCAAAGGCAATGGAGAGCACCATTTTTTGCATTCCTCCTTCACCTTGATAGCACAGATGGGAACATAGTCCAGGTGCTTCAGCCAGGCTGCCAAGATTGCCCCTGCAGGCTCCAGGCCCACAGAAGCTCCAGCCATCCCCCAAAAGCAACACCAGGGGGGTGCACTCCGGCTCTCCACCCCCGACTCCTACCCCAGCTCCAGCCATCCCACCAAAGCTGCCCAGCACATACAGTCTACACAGAGGCTACTCCTGTACAAGGCCATGACTGCAAGACTGGAAGAGGTAGCTGTTTTGACTAATTCATAGAAACAAATACAGGAAATCAAACAAAATGAGGAGACAGAGGAATGTTCCAAATGATAGAACAAAATCACCCCCCAGATACAAACCCTAATGAAATGAAGATAAGTCATTTACCTGATAGAGTTCAAAATAATGATCATAAAGATGCTGACCAAACTCAGGAGAAGAATGGAGGAACACAGTGAAAACCTCCACAGGGAATTAGAAAATGTAAGAAAGAAAACCAATCGGAGATGAAGAATACTATGACTGGAATGAAAAATACACTAGAGGGAATCAACAACAGATTAGATGATACAGAAGAAAGGACCAGCGATCGGAAGACAGAAGAGTGGAAATCACCCAATCAGAACAGCAACAGGGAAAAAGAATTTTTTAAAATGAGGATAGTTTTAAGGAATCTCTGGGAAAAACATCAAGCAAACTAACATTCACATTATAGGGGTCCCTGAAGGAGAAGAGTGAGAGAAAGAGGCAGAAAATGTATTTAAAGAAATAATGGCTGAAAACTTCCCTAATCTGGGGAAGGAAACAGATACCCATGTCCAGGAAGCAACAAGATAAACCCAAAGAGATCCACACCAAGACATATCATAATTAAAATGGCAAAAGTTAAAGAGATAAAAGGCAGCAAGAAAAAAACAAGTCATATCAAGGGAGCTCTTATAAGACTATGAGCTGATTTTTTAGCAGAAACTTTGCAGGCCAGAGGGGAGTGGCATGATATATTTAAAGTGCTGAAAGGAAAAACCTTAACAGCCCAAGAAAACTCTACCCAGCAAGGTTATTATTCAGAATTGAAGGAGAGGTAAAATTTCCCAGACAAGCAAAAACTAAAGGAGTTTATCACCACTAGACTGGCCTTACAGGAAATGTTTAAGAGTCTTCTTTAAGCAGAAAAGAAAAGATTATAACTAAAAATAAGACACTGTACGAAAGAAAATATCTCACTGGTAAAGGCAAATATATATTAAAGCCAGTGGAACAGCCGCTTAAGAAGCTAGTATGAAGGTTAAAAGACCAAAGTAGTAAAATCGACTATAACTACAATAAGAAGTTAAGGGATACAGAGAATAAAAATGTGAAATATGATGACAATAACATAAACATAGGTGGGGAGCAGTAAAAATGCAGTGCTTTTAGGATGCATTCAAACAAGTAACTATCAGCTTAAAACTAACGAGATATATATATATATATATAGAGAGAGAGAGAGAGGGAGAGAGAGAGAGACACACACACACAAACAATCACAAGAGACAACTACAAGTAAGCCAACAAACTGGACAATCTAGAAGAGAGGGATAATTCCTAGAAACATCCAATTTTCCAAGACTGATTCAGAAAGAAATAGAAAAAATGAACAGACCAATTACTAGTATCAGTAGAATCAGTAATCAAAAAACTCCCAACAAACAAAAGGTTGGGGTGAAACGGCTTCACAGGTGAATTCTACCAAACATTTAAAGAAGAGTTAATACCTAGTCTTCTCAAACTCTTCTAAAATATTGAATGCTTCCACGCTCATTTTACAAGGCCTGCATTACCCTGATACCAAAACCAGACAGACACCGCAGAAAAAATAAAAGGTACAGGCCAATATCCCTGATGAACTGAGATGCAAAAATCCTCAACAAAATATTAACAAACCAAATTCAACAATACATCAAAAGGATCATATACTGTGGTCAAGTGGAATTTATTCCAGGGATGCAAGGATAATTCAACATCCACAAAGCAATCAATGTGATATACCACATTAACAAAATGAAGGATAAAAATCATATGATCACCTCAATAGATGCAGACAAAGCATTTGACAAAATTCAACATCTGTTTATGATAAAAACTCTCAACAAACTGAATATAGAGGGAATATACCTCAGCATAAAGGCCATATACATCAAGCTCACAGCAACATCATGCTTGATGATGAGAAGCTGAAATCTTTTCCTTTAAGATCAGAAACAAGACAACACTTACCACTTTTATTCAACATAATATTGGAAGTCGAGCCCCAGCAACCAGACAAGAAAAAGAGATAAAGGGCATGCAAATTAGAAGGGAAAAAGTAAAACTATCACTCTTTGCAGATGATATAATACTATATATAGAAAACCCTAGGGCTTCCCTGGTGGCGCAGTGGTTGAGAGTCCGCCTGACGATGCAGGGGACACGGGTTCGTGCCCCGGGCCGGGAAGATCCCATATGCCGCGGAGCGGCTGGGCCCGTGCGCCATGGCCACTGAGCCTGTGCGTCCAGAGCCTGTGCTCCACAACGGGAGAGGCCACAACAGTGAGAGGCCCGCGTACCGCAAAAAAAAAAAAAACTATTAGAACTAATAAATTCAGTAAAGTTGCAGGATACAAAATTAACATAGAGAAATCTGTTGCATTTCTATATATTAGTAACAAACTATCAGGAAGAGAAATTAAGAAAGCAATCCTATTTACAATTGTATCAAGAAGAATAAAATACCTAGAATAAATCTAACCCAGGAGGTAAAAGACTTGTACTCTGAAAACTATAAGACGTAGATGAAAGAAATTGAAGACCATGCACAAAAAATGAAAAAATATACTGTGCTCATGGATTGGAAAAACTAATACTGTTTTTCACAGAACTTGAATAAATGATCCTAAAGTTTGTATGAAACCTCAAAAGATGCAGAAGAGCTGAGCAGTCTTGAGAAAAGCAAAGCAAAGCTGGAGGTATCATGCTTGGTGATTTCAAACTATATTACACTACTGTAGTATGCTATTACTATAGTAGTACTATGGTACAAATACTCTACTACTATATTGGATATTATTAAAAAGACAACAAATAACAACTGTTGTCAAGGATGTGGAGAAATGGGAATTTTTTGCACTGTTGGTGGGATTGTAAATTGCTGCAACCTCTATGGAAAACAGTATGGAGTTTCCTCAAAAAATTAAATATACAACTACTATACGATCCAGCAATTCCACTTCTGAGTATTGATCTGAAGAATACAAAAGAACGAATTTGAAAAGATATATGCACCCCAATGTTCATTGCAGCATTACTTACAACAACCAAGACGGGGAAGCAACCTAAGTGTCCCTCAGTAGATGAATGGGTAAAGAAGATGTGGTATATGTATATACAATGAAATACTACTCAGCCATAAAAAGAATGAAATCTTGCCATTTGCAGCAACATGGATGGATCTAGAGGGTATTATGCTGAGTGAAATAAGTCAGACAGAGAAAGAAAAATATAGTATGATTTCACTTATATGTAGAATCTAAAAAACAAAACAAATGAACAAACATAACAAAATAGAAACAGACTCATAGATACTGAGGACAAACTGGTGGTTACCAGAGGGGAAGGGGCAGGGGTGTGAGTTAATAGTTGACGGAGATTAAGAGGTACAAACATCCAGTTATAAAATAAATAAGTCATGAGAACATAATATGCAGTATAGGGAATATTGTGAATAGTACTATAATAATTTTGTATGGTGATGGTATATTATATATATTTGATATATATGGTATATATATCAAATCACTACGTTGTGCACCTGAAACTAGTGTAACGTTATACGTCAATAACTTCAATAAAATTTAAAAAAAAACTAAAAGGGTCTGTGAGTTTCAGCATTAGAGGTCTTATTTCTACCATTAGAGGTCTATTTCTATTTCTGTTTCGCTGTGATGCAGATTGGGGTTTCCTGCACCCACAATTCCCCTGGGTGAAAAGGCTAGGGGTGGGAGGGCTGTATGATATTTTTACACACCAGTAGGGCTCGTTTTTCAGAGTCAGAGTGAATGAACCAGGCTCTCCTCTTTAAACCCAGGAAGGCAAAGGCAAAACTCATTTGTTTTTCTTCTTTAGAAACGTTGTGGCCTGTCCTCAGGCCTGTACTTCCTTTGCTTACCCCCTTACACGTGACACTCTTCACCACCCTCTCCTTCAAATGCTTTTCTTTCCTTAACTTTAGCCCTGTTCCGTCACCAGAGACCGTTGCATCAGCCTCCTAAGTGGTCTTCCAGCATCCGCTCTTGTCACTCCTTCCTACAATTTGTTCTCTGCACAGCAAACTGGGTGATGTCTTTAATGCAAATGTGGTCATACTTGGCCCTAGTTTAAAGCCTTTCAGTGCCTCCTGTAGCTCTCAAGACAAAAACCCTAACCCTAAAGTTGACCCCAAGGCCCTGCCCCTCCTCTGTGCTCTCTGTGCCCACACTGGCCTCATTGCAGTTCCTTACATGTGCCTCACACCTCCACCTTTTGCTTTTATTGTTCCCTTTTAACTCCTTCAGCCTGCAGACCTTGGGAAATAACAGAAGGCTATGGAGTTCGATAAGCCCATTCTTGTCTCAATGAGCTCCCAATTTAGTGGAGAAAAGGAGACACACAATTGAACAAATTGCAGCAAATGTGTGAGTGTTATACTAGAAATATGCCCAAGGAGCTTTGGGAGCAGAGGGAAGGGGCAGCTCGGAAACCTAAGTCTGTCAAAAGTAAAAATGATGTGAAAGCAATGACTTACTTTGCTTTGGGGAGTCTTTTCTCACTTTAAAAATGTGCATTTTTTTCCTATAAAAGAGAAGGAAAAGAAATTGGTTGTTTTAATATTCAGAAACTCTCAAAGGGAGTTACACTCAGCTATGAAAACTTATGCTTAACTCATTTGTTCAAGTTATAAGCCTCTTATAATACCGCCTTCAGCCAGAGAAATAAGAGGATAGGAAAAAGAAAAAATCAAAGATAAGATTGAATAGAAATCTACTCCTTTGCATTTCTCTCTCTCCCTTTTTCTCCTTCCTCCTCCTTTTTCTGAGGCTGGTATGGAACTGATTTATAGATGGAGAACTATGGTTATGTTATATATAATTTTTTTTTTTTTTTTATTGGCTGCTTTGGGTCTTCGTTGCTGTGCGCGGGCTTTCTCTAGTTGCGGTGAGCACCGGCTACTCTTCGTTGCGGTGCGCGGGCTTCTCACTGCGATGGCTTCTCTTGTTGCGGAGCACGGGCTCTAGAGCGCAGGCTCAGTAGTTGTGGCGCACGGGCTTAGTTGCTCTACGGCATGTGGAGTCTTCCAGGACCAGGGCTTGAACCCGTGTCCCCTGCATTGGCAGGTGGATTCTTAACCACTGCGCCACCAGGGCAGTCCCCTCTACATAACTTTTTGGAGAGTTTTTTTTCTGACAAAATTTCAATTTCTTTTATATCAAGGAGCCATTGTTATATCCAATCCCAACCTCAATCCCAATGTATGATATCCAAACAAAGAAGCAAGCGAGCAATCAAACACCTCCCGTGTGAGCACAGAGGTGACTGCACTGTACTGACGACCCTTGGAAAAACACATTCTAAATAGAATGGTAGCCAGTTATCATCACAGGAGACAAGGACAGCATCTGCTCTAAGGAGAATGACCATATGTCCTGGTTTACACAGACGGTTTAGTTAATGTCGTTATCAATCATTTAGTGACACTTAACTATTTTTAGCCTCCTTTTCACTCGCAAAAGTTTCCCAGTTTGGACAATGAATTATATGGTCACCCTGGCTATACGTTCTCTGTGCAAGGGACGGAAATGCATGCTTCTGTCCCAGGTAGACGCTGGGATTTGCAGTGTGATTAAGGGGCCTTTCTCTACATTGATGGCCAGTTTCATCCTTGCTTCTGAGGCTTTCCCGTTTGAAGAGTGTGTAACCACCCATGAGACTATTGTTCCTGTTTCTCACCAAACTCGAAGCATCACTTCCCTGACTGACTCTCAGATGATGGTGCCTGGGCTAGTGCCCAGCTTCCACTGTGGCCACAGACAGTGGGTAATTCACAGGTAACTTACAGCAAATACCACATTGAAACTACACTTATAGGGAAATAACCCCTGAAAACAGTTCTCCACTCACCACGGAAGGCAGAAACACCCGTCAGCGATGTGGCAGTCCCAGCATCTAAAATACCCAAGAGATGACACAAATCACAAGTTTAGTTTCTGCAACTTTGTTAGGGTGACTCTCTTCCCTTTGTCATTTCTGTAAAAACCCTTTTTTTTTTTTCTCCCCCAAGAGAATATTCATTCTAGGTGACTTGGACACATCTGTCATACTAGAATGGCTTCGTCCTCCCAGGACATTAACTGGACCTTTGGAAATATGACATTATCAACTCCTAATCAGAGAAGGAACTTTCTGCTGTGTTCCCAGCAAAGAAAAATAGGCTTGCTTATCTCCAATTCCAGCGATTTATGTGGCCTCTTGTGATGAAGGACACACAGAGTTATCTCCAGGAGATCAAAGTAAAAGTGTGTGGACATTTGAGAAATTTCTTCTAGGCACCGATTAGGCAATATTTACACAGGATCCCGCTGCACTCTGAATTTCTCCTATTTACACTCTATTATAATTTTCTGCTCACTTGTCTATATCCTACACTAGAAGGTGAGTTTCACAAGATTGGGGACCATATTTGTCTGTTCATCATGGTATAGATTACCAGCATATGCCACAGTGTCTGGCACATAGTAAATATATTTTCAATAAGTATTTGATAAATGAAGGAGTGGCTAAGAACAGAGCAACTCTAACTGGCTCAGATCATCAGATCTGCCTTATTGACCTCAAGGTATAGCTATATAAACAGGACTTGTTATCTCTTTAATGGCAGAAAGGCTCAGGGTCTCTCTGCAATCAGACATTGAGGCTAAGTCTGGGCATCTTTCTGAACTGAGGCATGGTTAACTACCTACACGGTTGACTGGGAAAGGCCTTTATAAAGTACTGCATGTACCAGTAACACTATGCAAAAATGTTTGGAAAACACAAAAATATCTCCCCCAGTGAGATTTTTCATGGAGTTCTCTTGGAAAGGACAGTGGAAGAGAGGCTACTGCACTTGAGCTTGGCTGTGGGCACCAGCGTGCTGAGTCTTCTGACAGCTTCTGGGGTCTGTGTACCATTAGAGCCTTTGGGGCTGAGAGGTATGGCTGTAGTTCTTCCTCCTTTTCAGGCTTCGTTCAGGGTCCTTTAGCCCATTTGCTTATATCTCCTATTTCTGCCATTAAAGAAACACCGGAAGGAAACCACTAAATCACACTCACGCTAAGAAATCAGGTTCGCTGAGGAGGTATAGGAGTGAGATGAAAGGAGATGATTAATTTTTCATTACTGGATCAATATCTCTGGACTCCCTGAGCCACAGTTTCTTTATGTATAAAATGAGGATACTTATACCGCTTACTTCATGGAGTTGTAAGGGTCACGTAAAGTTAAATATGCTCAAAAGCTATTTTCAAACTAATTCCCCCAGTCAACTTTTCTGCAATATATTCTTGCATTTCAGTTTGGAGTTTTGGTCTGGGGTAGGTTCAGGCTACGTGCCAGCAATTCCAGGTTTCTGTCTCTTACACAAAGCTTCCCTGGCTCCAGTCTGCCCAGTGTTCTCCCTTCTTCTAATGCCCATGGCCCTTCCAGTCTGTTTCATCCTTTGGACTGTATACTTTAACCTACACACCAAATATTTGATCCTTAATTTGCAGCAAAGAAAAGCACTCTGTTGGGGGGATGCCTGTGTAGCCTTTGGCTGTGTAGCTGCTTTTTAACTGATACTCTTTCAAAAACTTCTCCTGAAACCATGGGGAAAGTGTAGATAACTCTTCAAGCCACGGAACAACCGACTTTGCCACACTTCGGGATTCTTGGATTCAGGGACGCTCGTTCCATATTTTAGCGATTCCCTGACACTCGAAAGGCCTGGTCAGAAAGGATCGATGAGGAAGACTTTGTTTAAGAGCATCGGGGTAATCACAAGTGTCTCTCTGCACAGCCCTTTCAACAATTGTAGCCGTGTGGAGGATGTGGTTACCTCAGAAATAGAAACTCAGAGCTTAAAGTGAAATGGCCAGGATGGAGCTGGAGCAGAAAGGTACATGAAATCGACAGACAAAGAGACAACAGGAAATAAGGGTCTTCTTTCCAGCTGCCAGGAGTTACACTAGATTCCTAGCAAAATGGCACATCTTCTGTCCAAGGTTTCAGAGTGTTTCTGTCTTGTCTTCACGTTTACTATCATTACAACTGCTGCTGCGTCTAAGCAGGGTCCTCTGTTGGGGCGTATGTGAAGTCCAGGACCTGACAGACATCATTCCTCACAGGCAAAGCCTGGGAGAAGTTTTGTTGGATTTGCTCTCACCTGGATGTTCTCTGTGTGGGGCTTTGATTTCTCAGATTCCAGGGTGTCTCTTGAGAGATCTGCTGCCACCCAAACCTCAACATATCAAGAATGAGCTAAGTCTTTCCTTTCCAGGCTTCCCACCTTGCTTGATACTTTTTCCAGCTTTCTTCATTTCTGCTATTTGTGTGTAACCCCAGAATTGCCTCGGCTTCCTCTTGTTGCCCTCCCATCTGTTAATACGCCCTTCTAAAGCATATACCTCAGTCTGTCCTTGATTTGACCTCCCCTCCATTGCCATAGAACAGCCCTCGCAACGTTCTCCAGCAACTGCCGTACACCACCAGGCCCCAATCATTTGTTCCCAAATGTCCAGACAGCCTCATGACAACTGCAAGAATATCAGTGTACAGAGAGGCTTATCCGCTCTATGCAGTTTCAGGGACTGTCCACAGGAACCGAGAAGGGCACTGGCCTTGTCTCATGTAAATTGCAATTTTCACAGAAAGCACCAAGGCAGAGAACATGGGATAAAAGGGAAGGAAAGAATTAAATAAAGAAAATAAATTGGCTCATTGTTTGGGTTTCTGTATAACTATCTTTTTATTTGTGGGGAGTTTAGGGTATAGAGAAAAAGAAACTAAAAATTAAACACAATTTACTATGTGCTTACTATATATATATATATATATATACACATATATATATGCACACACACTATAAATGCTACTTACTATTATATATATATTACTTACTATACATACTACTTCCTAAATGTAAATAACATATACATTTTCTATGTTATATTTCACTTAATCTCAGAATAAATCCATGAGGTAGGTATTATGGTTCTATGTCTTACCCATGAAGAAACTGAGGTTAAAAAATTTATGCAACTTGTCTGAGGACAAGTGGGAATAAGTGGGAGAAGCTGAGTTTGCTTCTGGCAGATTCATCCTCTGAAACTCTGAGCTCCTCTCATGAAGGGAATCGGTGCCGTTCTGCGTGATGGTGGGAATTTCCCTGCTTTTTGTAACAAATTTGATCTGGAGAGACATGGTGGAGTGTGCTGACTGGATGATAACCAGGTGGTGAAGGTGAAGTTGAAAATAAGATCCAAGTAAATATAAGACTTTTGAGTATAGTAAGGAAGACATTTTAAGTCAGCATAGAAATGAAGATGCTGGGCCAACTGAGTAATTATGTAGAAAAATATGTATTTCTATCTGACACCATATAATGAATGTATGATGCTAAATGTAAAGCAATAAATCTATGAAAATTATACTGTGGATTTGTCTTATTTTGGGATGGGGAAATAATTTTAAGCGTAAATGATACATGAAGGAGAAACCAAAAAGCTTTCTAGATTTAATTCAATTATGTTTAAATATATAAGAAAAACATAAAAATTCTGTATGGGACAAGACACTCAGATTGGACAAAAATCTTTTTGGTAATATTTATGAGAAAGGGCTAATTTCTTCAAAGTAAAATAGCTTTTACAATAAATAAAACAAAGTAGACCGAAATCCAAAACAAAAGCGGGCAAAAGGCATATTAGCTCTTCACAGATGAAAAAATACACATCTCTGATATAGACAGTAAAATAAAAATAATGCTTCTAATGTTATAAATAGTTATAACTGTGATTTCCCAGTTTATTTTCTTATTTATACTTTATTTATTCTCCAATTTCTTTTACAACTAACATGTATTAATGTCACAATCCTTCACTGCCTCACTAAAGTTCTAAAATACAAAATTACAAATGTAACATCAATCATAACTTTCTCAGTCACATCATACCTGTATTTTGTTTTATTTTTCTTTTCAAGACAGTATTTACTTAGGTTTCCAGTCATTCATTTGGTGTTTATTGAGTGCCTACTATATGCCAGAAACAATGTTAGGAAACAGAAATTCAAAGATGAATAAGAAACAGTCTCTACTTTTGAGGACCTCACATCTAGACATAAAAATAGGGACTTATAATCTGATAGAAGAATGCTAGAGTTTCAGAATGAAGGCTGTGAGGATCTGAGGAGGAGAAGTCGCAGACAACACTGACCCTCAGGGAGGGCCGGGAGACATTCCTCGGGTTCACCAAGCCTCCTTTTGGCAGGTGGCTTTTTAGATTCTATGTTCTAGCTCTCAATGGCATGAACTGAGCTCTGGGACACCAAACACAATCCTGTAAAGACCACCCCCCAACTCCCCAGCTAGCTCATTTTCTCCAAACCACCTCACTTTGTACCATAAGGATTCCCATGTTTTGGGTGGTACTAATTTTTACAATGGCTGCTTTGACATTAATGAAGATGATGGTCCAAAAAAAGAATATCTTCTAATTATTGAACCCTACTCTGTATCAGGTACTATGCTAACATCACACACACTAGAACCCTCCAGCATAGGTATTGTGTTATTATTTCCAGTTATCATGAGGAAACTGAGGCCCAGAAAAGTTAAGCCAAGTTCTCTACCAATTTCAATGACCTCTGCTTACCTGTTGCAGGGAATGTGCACCAGGTAAGGTCTTATGCTATCAGGAAGCTTGCTGTTTATTTCGAACTTTAATAGTGACTAAAAGGGTGGTGGTGTCTTTAACCTCAGAAGAGCATACCCTCCGGGCCCCCAGAAAGTTTTCCATTTCTTAGGGGGTAGTCTATGGCACAGAACTTCCTTGATAAAGTCTTGCCTCTCAGCTGTCCTCCACCAGCTGCTCACTGTGATTCTGGGGAGAAGGCCAACCTATAAGGAATTGAATGTGTTCTCCGGCACATAGTAGGCACTTCATTCTTGTCAGTCCCTCACCCAATTGCTTTCTCCCCAAGAGTAGACCTCTTTTTCTCTTTCCGGCTACATTGCCCAGACCCATCTCCTCTGCTTCCCATTAGGGAGTCTGGGCTCACCTGTTTTCCCTCAGCAGAGAGTTCCCCATCCTCTCAGTCCTCTTGGTGCCTTCCCCTCGGCTTGCCCTGTGTTCTGACAAGCGCTGCTCCTGACTTAGAGACAGGGCTGCGCTGCTCAGCCACCAGGGCAGAGAGAGCTGAGAGGAGAGTATCCCTTTGCAGAGGAGAGGAGGAGCCCCGGGGGGGGGGGAGGAGATTCAGAAGTGCACACATGCACAACTTCCTAAAATGTCAGAGGCTGAACCAACTGGGTTATTGCCCTTAACCAGAAGTCGTTAGTCAATGAGAGTTTTGAACAAATGGGGAAGCCCCATCTGCAATTGTGAACAGGCCATGGGGGTTTTTCACCTCAGATGCCCGAACTTACTAAAGCACTTTGTAGTCCAAGAAACATCAGACGGGGGGAACTTTGTTTTAAAACAAAAAAGCTTAAAAATCAAGCCATAGACCAGTAGAAAATATTAGCAAAACATACATCTGGTAAAAAGATTTTTATCCAAAGTGTGTAAAGAACTCTCAAAACTTACTAAGAATAGAACAAACATCAAATAACAAAATAGGCAAAATATTTGAACAGATATTTCATCAAAGAAAATATGTGGATGGCAAACAAATTCATGAAAAGATGCTCAACACCATAGTCATTAGGGGTGTAATAATAGAAATCAAAACTACAATGCAATGCTTTTGCACATCTATTAGAATGGATAACATTGAAAACAAAAACAAAAACTGATGGGCTTCCCTGGTGGCGCAGTGGTTGAGAATCTGCCTGCTAATGCAAGGGGACACGGGTTTGAGCCCTGCTCTGGGAGGATCCCACATGCCGCGGAGTGGCTGGGCCCTTGAGCCACAACTACTGAGCCTGCGCATCTGGAGCCTGTGCTCCGCAACAAGAGAGGCCACGATAGTGAGAGGCCCACGCACCGCGATGAAGAGTGGCCCCGGCTTGCCACAACTGGAGAAAGCCCTCGCACAGAAACGAAGACCCAACACAGCAAAACTAAATAAACTAATTAATAAACTCCTACCCCTAACATCTTCTTAAAAAAATAAATAAATAAATAAAATAAAAACAAAAACTGATAATACCAAGTGCTGACAAGGGAAGTGGAGCATCTAGAAGTCTCACACACTGTTGATGGGAATGCAATATGGTTTAGCCTCTTTGGAAAAGAGTATGGCAGTTTCTTACAAAGTTAAACATAGCCTTACCACACAACCTAGCAACCCCACTCTTAGGCATTTACCCAAGAGAAATAAAAAATTAAGATCTCTAAGAACCTGCATGTGTATGTTTGTAGCTGCTTTACTCATCATTGCCAAAAAGCCCCCGAAACAAAACAGAAAAAAATCCCTGGAAATAACCCAGATAATCTCAAGTAGTGAATGGCTAAACAAACTATGTCACATCCACACGATGGGATTCTGCCCAGTAATAAAAAGGAATGGACTACTAATATATACGACAACATAGATGATTCTCAAATGCATTATGCTGAGTGGAAGAATCCAGATTTAATATCTACCTTTTGTGACATTCAGGATGAGGCAAAACTGTAGGGACAGAAAACACATCAGTGGTGGCCAGAGAAGGGGTAGGGGAAGGTTTGATCTTCAAGGATCAGGAGGGAATTTTTTTGTTATTGTTCTGTATCTTGTGGTGGTGGTGACATACATGACTGTATGCATTTCTCGTAATTCATAGAGCTGTATATCAAAAAGCATGCATTCTACCATGTGTAAATTATCTCAATAGAAAGAAAGGTTAAATATGAAAGAAATTAACTTAGGGACAGGAATTACAGAATTTTAAAATTATTCTTATAGTTGATGGTTGGTTCAAGTTTGGCCACTCATTTGTTCCTTCATTCCTTCAACAAGTATATGCTGAGCACCTACTGTATGCTGGGCACTGTGGGTTTAGTGGTGAATGAAGCAGATACAGGCCTGCCCTCATGGAGCTCCTTGAAATGAAATGAAACAAAGTGCAAAAGACCTTACTGCTTGTCCTCGAGTAATGGAGAGGTCATACCTGCAACAGGCAGGGCAGCATGGGGAAGCAGCTTAGAAGAAACCATGTTAGAGAAGCTGGGGTACTAGTTGTGCAACACCAGACCCATCACACATCACTCGTGCCCCCGTTGCTGCTCTCCATACATCAGGCTGTCTATGTGGGGGGTTTCCAGGAGCACTTTATGACAAATGGGCTGAGAGGTGGACAACACTTGCCTAGGAGGACAAAGTATTCTGGAGTGAGTAGGGCTTGTGAGAGGGAAAGAAGGGTTATGCCAGTCTAGGAGGGCTCAATGCATGAAG